CACAAGCCAAGTGTCCTTCATTCTGCCTTCCATTTCTTCAGGCACTTAGCCTTGAATCGAGTGGTCACATCCAAGCAACACCATCCATCAAATAAATAGTCCGACTGAGATGCCTCCATATGTGTTGCGCCCACTGTGGCAACGACAACCATTTGTATGAGAATTGAGGATATGAGAATTCCTGTAATGTCCTACAATAATAAGCAATAATAAGCAATTTTGAATAACAATTGAATATATCACAATTAATTTAACAATGGTCCTGGACAACTCGAAACTATAGATGGACTGACAACCCATCCTGATCTATAACAATCAAGAAAGACTCCAATTGAATCAATAGATTAGAATCTTTGGAAATAGAAAATTCATATTAAGATGTAATTTTGTGGCCGAGACCTCCACAAACTCTGAAATGCATGACTGTTGTATTCACAGAAATCCATTATAATTTTCTCTTAAAGGTCCCATATTTTGCTCTTATTCATGTTTCACACTCCATCCTAATTATATGTGTGATATAATCTATCACCATTTATAGCCGTTGCATAGAGGCGATGTCACCTCAACTGAAACGGCTGGATCTGTGCTGGATCCCCTGTAGTTTTGGCCTCTCATTACTCATTTACTCTAATTATAAATGAGAAAAACTTACTTGAAAAAATACCTCCAATGTCCCCTACATCTTATTTGTTGATGATATAAACTCTGCTATAGCCGGGGTCTGGAGTTGGCTCTCATAGACTGTTGGATTTTTAAGAAACCCCCTTTCACAGCTTTGAACTTTAAGGGAAATGTCGGTACTATATTTTACTTTGGAGTTCAAACTAGTCCCTTTTCATCCCAGAATGCTTTATTTGGACAAATCTTTCACATTGATATATTGTATCAATTGGCTGACAAAAAGACAAATTTACAATGCATCCATAGATGGACCCTCTCGAGAGAAATGCCATCAAAACATTGATATACAAAATGCAGTCATGCCATTTATGTTTATCATATACAAGACAATTCATTATGTTGCCAATAAAGTGGAGGAAATTACAATGTTGAAACACACATACGGGTCAGTAAGAGCACACAAAATCTATCTATATGCAAGTGTAAAGTTACATTCACATAGGGCAGGAGAATACAGCTATAGCGTAATGAAACGGGCTTATATACTACTAGCAGAGCATCCCCAAATCAAAATGGCAGGTGTTCGGAGTAGAGCAGACAGTCCATGGTGACCCTATTGCTGGTGTGTTTGCTGCCACCTCTGTCCCCTCCGCCTGCGCCTGTTATCAGCTCCCGCCTTTGCCGTACCTGCCACTCCAGCTAATTAACATCCTCTGTCACAGGAAACGATGTGAGAGCCTAACACAGCCTCCCGCAGGCGAGTGCAGTCACAGAGTAGGTACAGGAGAAGATCAGACAATACGCCCTGTTCGAAATAATTATCCGGGCTTCATGGAGAGCTACAGTGTTTAGAGAAGGGTACAGAATAGACCATGTTTATGAGACACCGATATACTCGAACAACTGGATTTCACTATCTTTGATCAGTTAACATGATTTTAACAGCTAATAGAATACAACCATCATATTCCAGAACATGAAAAATACATCCCTCTTACTTCAGTCACATCCAACATTCTGGGATGAATCATAAATAGTATAAAAATGTACACAAAGTGAAAACTGATTTGCAACTTGCCTTTGTTCCTTCTTCTGTAGTATAAGAATCATTTTACTTAGTATAAAAAAAATGCTTTCCAAAAAGAGAACACAAATAACACTAACTTGCAACTAAGTAAGCACCATAGAATAATTCATAAAAAGATCTTACATTCAATTATATCACATTACTTACATTGAAAAGAATAGTTAAAGGCTGCCTTCTATAAATATCTCCCTAATCCATAAAATATAATTGTGCACACATTTCAGCTGACACTTTTCTGTGTTGGTAGAATGAATGAACGAAAGCGCATTACATAAACAGCAGGCTGAAATAAGATGTATTCTAAAAATACAGCCACACTCATAATCACGCCTCTCTTAGCCTCTCCTCGTCTCAGTGTGGACATGAGCCACCCAAATCTCTTCACAGCTTGTCTGCTTTATCCCCCCGTGAGAGGCGCCTGGAATTACACGGGGACTCTGTTCGTGAGTGTTTGTGTGCGCATCAAGGCCTGTGCCCTTAATGGGAAATTTGAGAGATTAACACATTATGGTCGGCGTATCAAAACATATATAAACAAAGTGTAGAGTCAAAACCGCTAACCTGACACCATGCCGTTTCTGGGGTTGATTTTTTGGAATAATAAGTAGAGCTAGACCAATATCGGTTTATTTTTACACCGGCAAATTTAAGATTTTAAGTTTAAAGCAGGAAAATGTAAACACCAGGAAGGTCTGTGGCTATTTTTGTGAATTTACTCTTTGAATTATGGAGGTATTCTGAGCAAATGATTACAAAACAAAAAAAAACATTTGATTTTGAATTGAAAGGTCACATTTATTCACATTTCAAGAAAGATTTTTGGGTATATGTTTTTGGTTAAAGTATCGGGAGATGGCGAGAATCAGCCAACTTCAGCTCCACCAAGTAAATCATATGCTTGTGTCATACCTCATGTTATGAGTGATGAGTCAGTCATTTAACACATATATTGAGGTGTGAATTACATTTACTTGTTGTTGTCAAAAATATTATACATTTTAGGCCCCGTCTACACGTAGCAGGGTATCTCACAAACCGAAGATATTTTCCTACGATCTGGCCTATCATCCACACAAACCCGGAGTTTTCTGTCGATAAAAACGAAGGTTTCTGAAAACTCCGGCCAAAGTGAAGATTTGGGAATTCTCCGGTTATGCGTTTGAGTGTGGACATAAATAACCGGAGTATTCGGCTGTACGTCACTACCAGCGTGCTGCTCTGACGTCACACGCGCGACCTGTGTTTACATCAGAAACAACATGGAGGCCATCAAAACCGCTTTTGTTTTAACGATTGTTCAGGCACTTTTTGCTTGCTTGTTTTTACAAGCTCAAATACTGCTTCATGTTGAAGAGCACAGACGAAGGAGCACTTTAAGGTCGGCTATTTTCCGCCAAATAACCATCCCTCGTCCAAGACATGTTCCTCGTCAAAGACGGCAACGGCAATTTTGGGTCAGACCGGGACGCACTGCCAGCTGGTGGGAGAACTTTGAGATGGAAGTCGTCCTCCCGGAGGAAGGTAGGTTTGTAGGTTTGAAATGTAATTGACAACGCATGTATGCGGTTAGGTGTGGATGCCGTTTTTTAAAAAACCGAGGCTGTGTGGACAGAAGTTTTTTTTTAGGCGGAGGGCGGATTTATAAATGCCCTGCTACGTGTAGACAGGGCCTTAAACTACTGTATATCCATGTATTATTTTGAAATATTAATTCAGTGTCTGTCTATGGCCATTACTTTTTTTAATAGGATATACACCATATTTTATAGTGAAAGAAAAAGGGTTCCCTATAAATATGCAACAATTTTAGTCAGCCACACCCCACTTTAGATAACATCAATGCATCTATATATATATTTAAAAAATACGACCATTACTTTTGTGGTGGGGTTAAACAGACCACTACAGACGAGATGAACGTTCCGAACGGCAGTAATTCATGAGAAAATCTTCAATGCTCGTCACTGCTGCGTTGTCACTACGGGCCACTGCCGCTCTGCCGCTCCACATCATTTCCCGCACACTCAGTTGCTCTGGAAACACAGTATTACACCATGGCTGTTGAAATGATGCGGTGCGGCATCGCTGGGACCTTGATACGCTGTTTGCTATGTGCTTTTATGTCTACTGAGCGCTGAGATGTAAACAAAAACAATGTATGGAGCTGCAGGAGGACTGTGTGTGTTCTGATAAATGGATTAGGGGAAAAAAAGAACACATTTTAGGATACATATCTGTACCTGTATAGTTATGGTAATCTGAGGTTTAATTAATCACTTTGTATTAAAACATGTTAAGGGCTGTTTTTTTATGTGAGCTTGGTCTGTAATAATGCGCTATACAAATAAAGATAATAGTAGGTCTATGTTTCGTTCCAATGTCCATAATTCCGGTTCAAACTGCATTCTTTTATTTGACAAGGACAATACATCCTGCCATAGTTACAGAGATTGCAGCTGATGTGACACAGTTTATAGAAAATGATCAACTCAAACTCCTGTCTGTTGTGTAAAAATTCACTGAAGAACTTTTTCTAGATGCTACCTCAACGTAAATGTCATCACAACAAAGCTCAGACTAGCCTGGTCGTACCACACCATAGTACAAATGACATTTCGTTCTAAGGTCTGAGGGTGCTCCATTGAGCTCCATTTACAGGTGGGTGGGGTTAACTCCTTTTGCAGATTGAAACGATTGTTAGAATTTAGCATTTAGCCTAGCCATCTCCTTTGCCGCTAACGGAGCCCGTGGGGAGTAGCGCCACCATTTTTTCCATCGATTACATTTGCAAAACATTCCTCTTGCTCCGGCTTCAATTTCTTGATAGAACCAGACCGGATTACTTTACTATACTCGCATTATTCGCCATTGCCAAACTACAACCTGCCTGTTCGACGCAAACTCTTGACATCACCCACAACTAACTCTCTGAGTCGAAATTCAACCGATTGTAATCGCTAACATAGGGACTAGACCCAGACGTTACATGCAGTGAAATGATGATTAAACGGAGTGTTCGGATGGCTAAGGCCAGGCTAGTCTCAGACAGCCGGGAGCAGCAGGTTGTGGGAGCGAGCACTATAATGTATTAGTATTGTTTTCATGTGTGCCAAAACGTCTGGACCTGTTGAATCGTACATGACAGACGTTGTATGTATGTATGAATAGCTGCATGTGAAAACCAGATCCCGTCAGACCTCTGAAGCTAAGCAGGTCAGGGCGTGGTTAGTACTGTGATGGATGACCTCTGGGAAATAATCAAATACTCTTAGGAAGTTTGAGACCTGTGCTATACATTCTCGCTGCCCTCGCTGGTGTTTCCCTCCTCCTTCTGCGTCTCTCCTCTGTTGGCGGCCTCCTCCACATGGGGCAGCATGTCGGCCATAAGTGCCTCCTCCAAGCGTTTTCTCACACTGTACACCAGCTCCTCCTGCTTCCTGATGTCCTTGACAGTGGGGCGGCTGTGGCTGTGAAGTGCCAGTTGTGTCCTTAGGCAAGACACTTCACTCAAATTAGAATGAGTCTGCTGGGGCAGCTGTGGCTACACTACACTTTTATAGGTTTCCTCCGGGTACTCCGGTTTCCCCTTTTACTAAAAATATGTACAATAGGACTGTGCATGCGCCTCCTGTACTGGCGACCCCGCTCCCATCTCTGTGTGGAGTGAGAGGACAAATGCCTAAAATAACAATTGTAAACCGCTTTGTGACTCTGGTCTGTGAAAGGCGGTATATAAATAATGATTACTTACTAGTAGTTTATCACCAGCGTGTATGGCGTGAAGGAATAATGACATGTGAAGTGTCTTTGAGAGGCCAAAGACACTTTCATTATCATCATCATTATTATTATCATCCAAGTTTGTAATGGATTGAATTACAAACTTGGATTTGTTTCAAGCACTATAATAATACATGTAAAGCCTGACATGAAATTCAGTACCATGCAATGCAAAATGATCCCTGTCACCACATTTTTTTCACGTGTGGTCAACCCAGTGAAATACCTCTGTGTGGTAATTTGGGAGCAGGCAGTGCCCTGACTGCCTTGTAAAGTATTAACAAGCCTCTGTCCATCTCCTTCTCTCCTCTCTTCTTAAAGACACACTGTGACCTTGTAATCAGATAGTGGAGTGTCTCAAAGCCTGGACAGGGGTAATATGTCCAGGCCGGGGCACACAAAGGTCCCATTGGAAACTGCAGCCTGCTTAGGTCTGGTGTCTCCCAGGGGCCCTGCATATAAACTTACTGACAGCTGGGGCCCCTGGGTTTGTTAGGGGCCGTCGTCGTGGATGCACGGTGAAACATCAACAGGTTACAACCATGACATCTGATGTAGGGCATAAACTAATCAAAATAATACACTGTGAGACCATATATCTAAAGTTGGCACATTTGAAGCTGAATGACAAAAATAAATAACTTTTGAACAATATTCTAATTTCAGGAGTAGTACCTGTATTTATCCAACAGATACCCACATTTTCAATATATGTATATTTGCGTCATGACAGCAGACAGCAGCTGTTAAAGTAGCATTAAAATCCCTCAAACCACCTTTTTAAAACATATTCAATTTATTAGATTAGTCAGACAATAAAGGATTTTAGATCTATCACTTTATACTCATACAAAAACAAAACTCAGTTCTTAAACTAATTTATATAAATCATAACTCTGCACAACCGCCATCACACAAGGATTTACTGCCACAAGGCCTTTTCTCAACATTTCTTATTGTGAGGGAAATGTGGATACAATTTAACCAAAACGTCCGCTTCAAACATGCATTTAGACAGACTCATAAAAAATTCAGTTTGGAGTTTTCAAGAGCAAATTAAGTTTCAGAGGAGTGCAGTGAAAATGCATTTGGTCTGAGGCGATGCGTCTTGTTCGTGTTTCTACTGCTTTGGCTGCTGTAGAGAGATGGACAGGAGATAAAAGAAGACAAAACTACTCCCCCTCCTCCACTGTCACTCAAACATGTGTGGAGGAGGGAGCTGGGGGAAATCTAGGGAGCTCAGGATTATATTTGTAGGGAGAGCATCTAAAAATTACACAGAAAACGCGTAAATAGGCCAGGCTGTATGTAATATGGAGTTGTTTTCAGCCGCCTCCACGCTAATAATCTAAACTTCTGCCGTGAATAGGAGAAACAGGTCTTTCCTCCTCTTTCACACTCTGAGGTTTGACGAATACGCCTTTTCTGCCTCTGGAAACTTAAGTAATGTCTCTATTTGCTATGGAAATGTCTAAAATGACATTCTTTACAACTGCCTGCCTCAAATCATTAAACCATGTTAGATTCAGATCCGATGAAACCACAGCGTCACTTGTAACGTGACGCTGATTTAAAGTACTTAAACTTCATATTAATTCAGACTGGAGTTGTATGATTCATACTTAGTTCCTCCTTACGCATTATTTTTTATCTGCCAGATCTGTGATGTCATAGGTAGAGCCTCCAAGGTTAATTTTTTGCTGTATTAGGGTCTTTAAAGGGCTGCTCTAAACAAGTTCTATGATGACTTTGCACTATGACTTGAAAGTATCACAATATATATTAGGAGTGTGACGATATATCGATTTTTCGATATATCGCGATACTTTCTCCCGCGATCGATTATCGATATGCAATATGCATTTTATTGCAAGTATCGATTTTGAAAAAAAAAATATTTTTTTTAAAAATTAGTATCAATACTTAATATATGACTACATTACACATCTCCATTCCATCTATCATGAAATAAAGTGTATTTTTTCACTTAACATTTTTCTATTTTATGTATGCCATATATTGGCATATGGTATATTGCTGACCAACATATCAATAATCGTCATATCGTGATATAATCGTTATCGTGAGCTTTGTATCGCGTATCGTATCGTATTAGGTTCCCACCCCTAATTTATATAGTAAACATATTATTGTCAAATGGCCAAAGTTGCAGAGAGGATAAATGGAAAAAGGAACAAATGGCAATGCCAAAACAGGACTTGATATCCAATAACCGCAAACAGACTATTGGCCTTTTTACATCCACTTGTGAAAAAGCAGCCAACCCCGGCTCCACCTTGTATCTGTAAGCTCTGTCTGCAGCGATTTGCAGTGGCGCTCAAAACTGTTATGAGAAATTACATCCACTCTGCAGCAAAATCCCTTGGTTTCCACCATCCCTCTGCAGTAAGAAGTGAAGCCAACGGTTCCTTAAAAAATCTCTGAAATAACTGCTCATATGTTAAATTGTTGCAGGATTAGCATATTGATAAACAGTGATGGGAATAACGGCGTTACTAGTAACGGCGTTACTAACGCCGTTACTTTTTTCAGTAACGAGTAATCTAACTAATTACTTTGACAGTAACTATAACGCCGTTATCATTTCCGACATCCCGTTACTGCGCGTTACTCAAGACGCACAATGAACGTGTTGTCATGAGAGAAGGGAGGATGAGAAAACCTCTCAGCAATTATTGGCTGATGTAAATCATATTTCCTTTACAATCTACATGTCTACAGTTGAGAGGATGGATCATAAATTGTGTTTTTGAAACAAATATGGGTCTTAATCGCGCTCAACCACGGCTTGTATCACCGTGAGGTCAGCCACAGAGGAGCGCATGTGAGCGCAGAAGTCGGCTGCATACAATTCCATCGATAAGCTCCTTGCTCTTCCTGGTTTATCTGCTAAGGACAGCAACAGGTTTGGCTAACATACATATAACACATTTTTACATAATCTAAAATGCACATAGGGTAATTTTTCAATTACTATAGGAATGATAAGAAAGAGAGGTGAAGTGTAAGACGGTTGATTTTAGAAATTGGATGCAGCCGGCTGCAGCAAAACACAGGAGTTTATGGAGGACACACGCGTTTTGTTTTACTTTTTAAAACTCATTGGACTCATTTCCAAATGGAGGATTACATATCTACGCTCAAACCATTCACTGGATTTAAACAAGGAACTGGTCTGAACCGAAGTGGACTGTGCAGGTCATTTATAAGGTATAGCTATAAGGTAAGACCCATAACTCATAGTTTTGCGTTTTGTATGAACACACAATGCGGGCATAAAACATATTTTGCTGTAGCCAAACAAATTGTCCACTTGATTTATATGATGTATATGTTCATCTGATTGGACTGAAGTCAGTGCTTCACCAGCCTCACCGCTCGTCACCGGTGTTTCCACATTCACAGTGGAGCGTGTTGGTGTTTAGTGCTTACAGCACAGTGAGAGATGAAGAGTGAACAGGACTTCAGCAGCAAAACAGCCTTTTCTAGATGGAAATATTGGCACTGTTAAAGGTAAAAATGCGCACGTCGGGTGCACATTATGTTCCAGAACAAAACGAAAAAGTAACGCAATAGTTACTTTTACTGGTAACTAGTTACTTTTATAGTGGAGTAACTCCGTTAGTAACTCAGTTACTTTTTGGGAGAAGTAACTAGTAACTATAACTAATTACTTTTTCAAAGTAACGTGCCCAACACTGTTGATAAAGTTAAGAAGTTGTAAAAAGGGTCTTCATTCATTTTTGTAGTGGGCGCCACTTTTTCAGTCTTAGAAACACCTTTTATTATTTGATTAGACAGTTGTATACACTTATTATACTTTGATAGTCTCTGTACAGTCCAGGTTAAATGAAAAAACAAAAAACAAAAAATATTGTTTTGTTTCTTTGTTGAATGGTTTGAGCCCATTTCTCTCACAAACACATTGACCTGAGTAAGTCCAAGATTGACTGGCCCTTAAAGAAATGTTTCAGCCAGTTTCATCATTATGCCCAGAGATAGAACAACGAACAGATTTACCACCAACAAAAGAAGAGTAGAGGCACGCTATATTAAGACAAAAATGGAAAGCGAGAGCCAACCGTCTATAGACACATGATTTAAACTCTTATTTTGAGATGATGAGGTTTCTTGTCCTTATTAACTTTATAACAAAGAATGATGGTTAGATCACACAATTAGAAGAAAATTGAATACAAACGAATTAACTATTTTTTTTTTTTATCATTGTATGGCTTTGGTTATATTGGTACTGAATAAACAAAATAAAGAGTAGAAGTAGAACGGTGCTGTTAAGCTTCAATGTACTTGAATCATGGCTAACCACTTCAAACCATTGGATGGGCAAATCTGGTGCAGTGATCAGTATCAGCTGATCGAAATCTGTGTCCGTGATCGGCCTCAAAAATCAAGGCACCTCTCGTAAAAATGCATTAAGCACCGATTATGTTTTGCAGTTTTATTTTTTGCAGCAGTTTTTTAATTTTTTTTTACAAACAGGTACGACAAACATACAAACATACACAGTACAAGACATACAAGAGTACGGACAGTGAACAGTGTTTCGTGTAGACGTGTGTGTGCATGTACTTGCAGCAGTATTTTGATATTTGACAATGCTGACTGTTTTACTTTTTCATAATAAAGGATTTTAGATCTATCACTTTATACTCATACAAAAACAAAACTCAGTTCTTAAACTAATTTATATAAATCATAACTCTGCACAACCGCCATCACACAAGGATTTACTGCCACAAGGCCTTTTCTCAACATTTCTTATTGTGAGGGAAATGTGGATACAATTTAACCAAAACGTCCGCTTCAAACATGCATTTAGACAGACTCATAAAAAATTCAGTTTGGAGTTTTCAAGAGCAAATTAAGTTTCAGAGGAGTGCAGTGAAAATGCATTTGGTCTGAGGCGATGCGTCTTGTTCGTGTTTCTACTGCTTTGGCTGCTGTAGAGAGATGGACAGGAGATAAAAGAAGACAAAACTACTCCCCCTCCTCCACTGTCACTCAAACATGTGTGGAGGAGGGAGCTGGGGGAAATCTAGGGAGCTCAGGATTATATTTGTAGGGAGAGCATCTAAAAATTACACAGAAAACGCGTAAATAGGCCAGGCTGTATGTAATATGGAGTTGTTTTCAGCCGCCTCCACGCTAATAATCTAAACTTCTGCCGTGAATAGGAGAAACAGGTCTTTCCTCCTCTTTCACACTCTGAGGTTTGACGAATACGCCTTTTCTGCCTCTGGAAACTTAAGTAATGTCTCTATTTGCTATGGAAATGTCTAAAATGACATTCTTTACAACTGCCTGCCTCAAATCATTAAACCATGTTAGATTCAGATCCGATGAAACCACAGCGTCACTTGTAACGTGACGCTGATTTAAAGTACTTAAACTTCATATTAATTCAGACTGGAGTTGTATGATTCATACTTAGTTCCTCCTTACGCATTATTTTTTATCTGCCAGATCTGTGATGTCATAGGTAGAGCCTCCAAGGTTAATTTTTTGCTGTATTAGGGTCTTTAAAGGGCTGCTCTAAACAAGTTCTATGATGACTTTGCACTATGACTTGAAAGTATCACAATATATATATTAGGAGTGTGACGATATATCGATTTTTCGATATATCGCGATACTTTCTCCCGCGATCGATTATCGATATGCAATATGCATTTTATTGCAAGTATCGATTTTGAAAAAAAAAATATTTTTTTTTAAAAATTAGTATCAATACTTAATATATGACTACATTACACATCTCCATTCCATCTATCATGAAATAAAGTGTATTTTTTCACTTAACATTTTTCTATTTTATGTATGCCATATATTGGCATATGGTATATTGCTGACCAACATATCAATAATCGTCATATCGTGATATAATCGTTATCGTGAGCTTTGTATCGCGTATCGTATCGTATTAGGTTCCCACCCCTAATTTATATAGTAAACATATTATTGTCAAATGGCCAAAGTTGCAGAGAGGATAAATGGAAAAAGGAACAAATGGCAATGCCAAAACAGGACTTGATATCCAATAACCGCAAACAGACTATTGGCCTTTTTACATCCACTTGTGAAAAAGCAGCCAACCCCGGCTCCACCTTGTATCTGTAAGCTCTGTCTGCAGCGATTTGCAGTGGCGCTCAAAACTGTTATGAGAAATTACATCCACTCTGCAGCAAAATCCCTTGGTTTCCACCATCCCTCTGCAGTAAGAAGTGAAGCCAACGGTTCCTTAAAAAATCTCTGAAATAACTGCTCATATGTTAAATTGTTGCAGGATTAGCATATTGATAAAGTTAAGAAGTTGTAAAAAGGGTCTTCATTCATTTTTGTAGTGGGCGCCACTTTTTCAGTCTTAGAAACACCTTTTATTATTTGATTAGACAGTTGTATACACTTATTATACTTTGATAGTCTCTGTACAGTCCAGGTTAAATGAAAAAACAAAAAACAAAAAATATTGTTTTGTTTCTTTGTTGAATGGTTTGAGCCCATTTCTCTCACAAACACATTGACCTGAGTAAGTCCAAGATTGACTGGCCCTTAAAGAAATGTTTCAGCCAGTTTCATCATTATGCCCAGAGATAGAACAACGAACAGATTTACCACCAACAAAAGAAGAGTAGAGGCACGCTATATTAAGACAAAAATGGAAAGCGAGAGCCAACCGTCTATAGACACATGATTTAAACTCTTATTTTGAGATGATGAGGTTTCTTGTCCTTATTAACTTTATAACAAAGAATGATGGTTAGATCACACAATTAGAAGAAAATTGAATACAAACGAATTAACTATTTTTTTTTTTTATCATTGTATGGCTTTGGTTATATTGGTACTGAATAAACAAAATAAAGAGTAGAAGTAGAAACGGTGCTGTTAAGCTTCAATGTACTTGAATCATGGCTAACCACTTCAAACCATTGGATGGGCAAATCTGGTGCAGTGATCAGTATCAGCTGATCGAAATCTGTGTCCGTGATCGGCCTCAAAAATCAAGGCACCTCTCGTAAAAATGCATTAAGCACCGATTATGTTTTGCAGTTTTATTTTTTGCAGCAGTTTTTTAATTTTTTTTTACAAACAGGTACGACAAACATACAAACATACACAGTACAAGACATACAAGAGTACGGACAGTGAACAGTGTTTCGTGTAGACGTGTGTGTGCATGTACTTGCAGCAGTATTTTGATATTTGACAATGCTGACTGTTTTACTTTTTCATAAATTCAAGACATTTACACTTATGTGAGGAGGTCATATATGAGGAGGGTTACATATATATATAGCACTAAAAAGCTTCTGTCCCTGAAATAACGATACACACATTTTGACATAATGAGATAAAGTAAAGTAAGTGGAGCTGATAAGACTTTGCAAAGAGGCAGAGTCAGCCACTGTAACAAGATGCTCGGGGAAAACAGACAGTGGAATCAACACAGGAGAGGGAGGAGGGATGAGCATGAATGAAAAAGTGGAGAGGGGCACGCACATATAAATTGAGAGAAAGACAGATAAACCAATCAAATACACAAATGTAAAAAGTGATCCCGCACAGCTCAAACAATCCATCAGATAATAGGTTTTTCTCACTCTTGATGTAACATTTCAGGTTAAGTCTGGTCTGAAGACTGGCTTTGTTGGAAATATGTACACTGAACAATACTACTGTATTCTTAAACATGAACTGGTCAGAATGAGCTCAATAGATTGCATTGACTTGAACAATAAATATATAGGAGTCCTAAAAAGCAAAGCTGTAAAAGACGTATATATGTAGAATAGACATCAAAATAGTTTTTAACTTTGAATTAAACAACAATTCTGAAGCCTTATGATTAGTTGGCTAAAACACAGATACTGTAGTAGTACCTTTGTTCCATGATAACGCTGTCTTATCGTGTAGGATCCAATCTAGTGTCTTATCTCAGTTTGTGTGTTTCGTTCCATCACGAATTAATTTTCAACCAAAATTTTTCAGCCCGACAACTTAATGTTTAAAGTGGCCTTATTTCTGCTTTTCTGTCTCCAGCCCTCCTGCATATGTCGTGTATGCTGGCTGCCCTGCTCCACAGCGCCCTCCCCTGCCCATCCCCCTGTCACTGCTCTTCGGATGGGCAGGTGGTGAACTGCGGAGGGCTGGGCCTGTCTTCTCTGCCCCCCCTACACCTACTGCCAGCAGAGAGTCGCTCACTGCTGCTGCCCAACAACAAGCTGTCTGTGCTGGGGACCTCTGCCTTTGCTAACCTCTCTTCTCTGGAGGTCTGGACACCACCTTTTCACTGTGTTGAATATTGCAATTTATATATGTTCTGTGAGCCTTCGCCCACTGAGCTCTCCGGGGGGTATAGTAATATGTGCAGAAAGACTGCAGAATGGAAGAAACTGCAGATACAGATGCAAATATATAATACTCACTTTCAGTAGTGCTTCAGCCAATTTAAATAAAGTCCTTTTGTAATATGCTCTCTCCGTATGGCCATCTTCAAAAGACACTATTGAAACTCCAAGTATTACAATTTTTCAATGAAACAAAACTACATTAAGTTTTCCCCACACAGCTGTGCATGAAACAAATAGATGAGAAGAAATGAATAAAACTAAGCAGTTATTATGTTATATCAGCATTTGGTGACCATGGTCTTTGAAAAGTGCGGTATGAATAACAAATATTAAATTACTATGAGAGAAAAAACTATACAAGGGCAGTAACAAGGAAATACTTTTATCGCTCAACTATTGAAACAGTTGTCAACAAATGTATTAATTGATTAATTTTGTTTGAACCTTACAGAGGCTTAATAATCCTGAGAGGAGGATAAATGACTCAGATAATCATGACTGCAGAATCAAATGAAAATGTGTTCCCAAAGTATTTTAACAACTTAACCAATTTAACATTCAGTCCTTGATGAATGCAAGGTCATTTTTTATTTGAGTGAGACGCCCCAAAGAGGTGGATTTCAGTTCCCAGCTTAAAGAAGATAACTTAAAACGTGATCTACCAAAACTACCAAACCCCACGGTGGGGAAATTTCAGTGTTGCCTCACAAGATATAGAACCGTAGGAAAGAGGAGCACACAGCACAAGATAAGTGGACAATAGCTATACTAATTAAAATAAAACAAATCTCTAACTCTAGCATCAATAACAAGTATAAAATCTCTATCTTGAAAATAATATTAATAGAAAAGAAGTGTAAAAGTTTTAAATTTGGAGAAATAAGAGGCAAGTATAAAGTATTGTGTATTTTCTAGTGCAAGCAAGTGTGCAAGTGTAGTTATATGTTTACATCTGTACATTAGCAGCAGTATGTTTACATCTGTACATTAGCAGCAGTATGTTTACATCTGTACATTAGCAGCAGTATGTTTACATCTGTACATTAGCAGCAGTATGTTTACATCTGTGCATTAGCAGCAGTATGTTTACATCTGTACATTAGCAGCAGTATGTTTACATCTGTACATTAGCAGCAGTATGTTTACATCTGTACATTAGCAGCAGTATGTTTACATCTGTACATTAGCAGCAGTATGTTTACATCTGTACATTAGCAGCATGAGGCTCTGGGACACAGTGCAGAGTAACAAGTCATACAACATTGTTCTCCAGGGGCCTCACTTTTATAATTATCATTAATAAAAAGTCATAATCTGTGTTCTTGTCTTGGAATATGTTTGTGATTGCAAGCCAAAAACACATTTCTGTCATCACTACGCATTAGACAATAACATTATTCTGTTTATCCATCATCAATACACCAAATTCGAACATGTATTGTATTATATAACAGACAGAAGAATAGTGCATATTAAATCTGCGTCAAATCTAATGCAGTGTGATTGTGTGCGTCCCTCTGTAACAAAATGATCCGTGTGTTCAGGAGCTGGACCTCTCCAACAACTACCTGGATAATCTACCGGGAGGACTATTCCAAGACATGTCCAACCTGACGCGACTCACTCTGCATAACAATTCACTCACAGCAATGGACAGAGAGCTTTTCCAGGTATTTCCGACAGCATCCACAAGCAATCATGCAAGAGTCATTTGGCGTGTGTGACCATTCTGAGCAGCAATCGTCATTCGCGCTGTAGCAAAGGTTTTGTATCCGAGGGCCTTTAATGACAGTGACGGGCGCCAAGAATATTGCAATTTGCATATTCATAGGTTACACACTAGGTTTGCGCAAAATGCTCTTTGTGTTTGTACATTCACTGATAAGACAATGATGCACACTGTCTAGTCATATGTAGGTTTTTTTTTGTTTTTGGTTTACAGTTTAACTATTATGTGAGTAATGAAATAAATATCTGAGTTACATATAAGGATGTGGTTGTTTTGGAAAAAATATCTTTAAACTTATGTGTAACATCTTAATATCAATACTGCAAACAATTTGTAAGAATAAATAATCATGTCAGGGACCACAACAACTATCCCTGCATGTTTGTGGTTTGTTCTATAGGGCATCAGATAACAAATGCAGCTTGGAGAAAAAACAAAATCACATCAGTGCTTCCATATGGCCCGTCTTTTGGATGAGCCTGTGTCCATATCCATGACGTTATGTCCCGGCCGATGCGATAGGATCACAGACTGAGCCTGTGATGCACTCCATTGACCCGCTTCATTTGTCCAGGGTTTGGGGGGCCTTCAGAGCCTGGATTTGTCCTTGAACGGGCTGTCGTCAGTTCCTTTGGGTCTACTGGACGAGCTGCAGAGCCTCAGGTGAACACAAATCCTCCATCGCTACAGTACTGATGAGTGCATCTGATAAGAGGGTAGAACAGCTTCTCGAGGGATTATTATATAAAAACAATTCCTTTTTTCCAGAGCAACACTTATGTTCTATTGAAGACATAAATAATGTAAAATCAGCATACAGTATATGCATTTGATTAAACTAAACTTGATTTCATTCTCGCTACTTGCCTCTCTTGTTGAACTCCATTCAAATATGTATCTGCATTATGTCATTGATTTAAAGTTTTTTGAATGTAAAATTATATTTTGAAGTTCCTGATAGTAGCGTGGATGGATCTGAAAGGAACTCCATGCCATGTGCTGTTTTGACGAGGGAACAATGTTTTAATAGTGATATAAGCTCAAAAAACCGATACGTCATTTGCTTTCTGTCTATGATTTCAGGTGGTTATCTCTGGCAGGAAACAGGCTGCATGCGTTGGAGAGAGCTGCCTTTGAGCCCCTGGTGAATCTGCAGCACCTGGAGCTGGGGCAGAATCCCTGGGAATGTGACTGCAACCTCCGGGACTTCAAGCACTGGATCGAATGGCTCCTGTACAGAGGTGAATGTCTATTCCATCGCATCATACAGACAGCTTCAGGGAGACAAGGAGCTGTCTGATCAATAGGGGTTAGGAACCTAAGGGTACCTTACGATACGATATACGATACAAAGCTCACAATAACGATAATATCACGATAAAGATTTTATCACGATATGACGATTACACTGGGTAACAAAAAAATATTTTATTAAAATAGTCCAGGGTTTTCCAGCTGAATTAGGCTAATTTTGATGCTCTGAGTCCGAAAATGACCTTGGTTTTGCTCAATCAGGTCAGGATTATTTGCTACAGAAATATTTTTTTAAATTGATTTTGCGTATAAAACAAATTTCTGCGGATCATCAGCTGAGAAACCCTTGACATTTTTTCTATCCAAAGTCATAAATAAATAAATATGGCATAAATAAAAGAAACATGTTTATTTAACTTTACTTTATTTCATGATAAATGGAATGGAGATGCGTAATGTAGCCATATATTAAGTATTTATACTAATAAAAAAAAATTAAAAAATCGATATTGATACTTGGCAAATGCATATCGATAATCGAATCGCGGGAGAAAGTATCGCGATATATCGATAACGCGATATATCGTCACACCCCTACTGATAAACTAGTAAAACAACCCATAAGATAGACCATGCATATCAAACACCTCCCGCAGGAGAGTGTACATTAGTCTCAGGCCACTTCTTCAGCTTTAAAAGAATAATTAGTGAGTTGAACAGATAATATTTCTAAAACATTGTCCATCTGACCACATTTACCAAAACTTCTAACATGGAACCTTCCTAGAAATCATGTGGCATTGTATAAACTAACGCTGAAACGAGTTGATTGGGTAACTGCAACTAATAAATTGTTGAAATAGTTTTGAACATTGAATCTATTGGCTGTCGTGTACAATATGCCATTAAACTTGTATTAACCTATAAGCCATCAAGAATAACATACAGCTAGAATACGCAAGCCATTTCAAAACATATGAATGATATTCACTTAGATTAAATTAAATTAATTTTTGTTGAGCCGTAAATCACAACAGCAGCCATGATTCCTCATCAACAAAAGCCACAACACGTTGATTGAATTATCCAAAGAGAACTTTCTTCAATAGCATCAAGTATAGTAAGCCATAAAAACAAATCCACAGCACACCAACGCACATGATTCAAATGAATACATGGTGTCCTTGGTGTCCTTTTGAAAAGCTATAGAAGAGCCAGGCCATGCTCACAATAGTACAATTCATTAGAAAGGTCTGTGGACCGTGAGTGTGCATGCTGTGAATGCTCCGTGCTCTGGTCATGTGTAAAATCTACATTCACCTCGCTGCCTGGGGCTTTAGCTGTCCTGCTAACGAATCGTTCCTGCTCCTCACTTAATACTCTTCCCACATCAGCTGCTATAAAGAAGCAGCATATTCTGCAAAAATGAAATGACAGAATGATAATAATAAAGCCAAGCATACAGACATTGTGAAAGGACATCATAATGGCAATGTATGGTCTACTGACAACTGTTACTAATAGAGTAAGAACAGTCATTTCTGTGATTTCAAATGCAGTCAAATGAATGAAAGGATCCAATTGAATAAAACACTACCTCAATTATTATGCAAAACCATTTTCTCTCTTTTAACCAGTTAACAAGATTGATGTCATTGTGATACTACTCTTGAACTGATTCAAAGCGGTTTTCTGGTTGTTTAGAAAATTCTATTGGCCATCTATTCGTTAAAGTTATAAACAAACTTTTTCATGTGTAAATGAAAACAACTTGATAATTATTTTTTCCTTCTTACGTCTAACTGTGTCACTGAGTGACATAGTGCAAGTGTTTATAGTGTGATTTTTAGACTTGGTAGGTGACTTTATCATGTTGAGGACATAATGACAGTACTGCTGGCAAAGACTGCCATAATAAAAACAACTGCATGTTAAGTACTTAGTGGCTCTATGCCTCCGCCTTCATCTCATTGTTCTGCCATTTCCTGTATCCAAGAGCACAGATCAATTGCTTTATAACAGCCGTCACTTTGTATTATTGTGGATGGAGACAAATGCTGTCGGCAGGTAACAAAAGGGTTGCATGAGTTGAACATATTTTAAAACTCAAAATAGTTCTTACTTCTTTACCAGTGGTAGGTAACCTGCGGCTCTTCTGCTACTTGGCCTGAACACTTCTTAAAAAAACATAATTATTTCTATAACTTAAGGTTGTAACAAGGTATTTATTGTCGACATTAGTCCAAAAAGTCCTGTGTTGGTCCTCTGTACTCTGCATGATGGCAGAGCCGTCAGAGAACTTCTGTAGGCACAGTCATCTGTGTTGTGCCTGAAGTCTGCAGTGTAGATGGTAGAGGGTAAATGTAGCGGGTACAGAGATGATAGAAGGGGAACGGTGCACGGACAGACAACGCTGAGGTCTTCAGAAATTATTCACAGAGGAAGCTCAATCCATCCAAGTTAAAACATAACTTTTTGCTGTTTGAGATCTCCCATATTCTCATCTATGACATACAGCACATCCCTATCGAACCATAAATAAACCATTTTGAAAGGTAAATGAAAAGTTCCAAACTCCATTTACAGTAGCTGGTGGGAGTTTTGTTTCTCTCTCCACAGCTGAAGTACTGTGCTAAACATGGAATCTCATAAATGATTGAGGCTTTGTCCAACTTAGTGTAGCGAGCAAGTGCTGGGTCTGTTATGTATGAGTCATAGTGTTTTCATAACCCTGCCGCCTTCATCTCCCTTTCACTTTCACTCGCGCATTCATCAAAAGAGCTTTAGACCTGCGGCATTTCATAAAGTGACCTCTCTCGGTAGTAGTGGGATTAACAATAAATAGAAAGTTCAGTCGGAGAGCGCGTACCCCACCAATACTACAAATCTTTTCAAACTAGTAATCACATCTCATCTACACACAACATTTCAGCTCTATCCGCAATCCTGTCTACAATCAGATGCACACCCACACAAAGAGGCAATTATATTGATAACTTAGTCTAGTCAAAAGAGTAAAATTTTTCTAAAAAGCAAATTTTAGATTCTCCCAAATGTGTTGCTTATTTTCCTTTACTCAGTAGGTTCTATAACTCTTTCTTGACAGCATATTATTGAAAATGTTTAATCAAAAAGTAATCAAAATACTCATTTGAATGTTTCCAATTAGCAAATAACACATGCTGCAATTGTTTTTGGTGAAAAAGAAAATCTCATTTCCAAAAAGTTTTGTAAGCGTTTGGCACTAGCTTCAACATATTTAAAAGAAGACAAATGTTTTACCATGTTATAATTGCGTGGTAACAAAGGTTTATGAACATACAAGCCCTCTACTAGTTAGGACACATATTTTAATGCCTAGTGTTTTTTCAACTGTATAAAGTAACAGCCAACTGTGGCTCTTGTAAGATATTGCTGTATAACATTCCAAAATAAACAGATACTGCTCCGGGACTGGAGGTAGAACAGAAACCCTCTCTGTTCGGGCAGTTTTAGAGATACAGCTCAATCTGTAATGTTTCTGGTTTAGCCACTCAGATATCACTGTACATAATTTCTGAACCAGAAACATTAGAACATGCAAAACTTAATCAGATAATCATTTCATTTGTTCTTTGAATCCCTCTCTTGTGCCATAGGAGGTCGAGTGGATGCTGTGGAGTGCACACTGCCCAAAGACCTTAGAGGAAGGGACATTCGGACCGTTCCTGTGGAAATGTTCAACTACTGTCTACAGCTGGAAGATGAGAATGGGGGGGCAGATGGGTCACGTGCCGGATCTCCCTGTAGTCGAAACAACGTCAACCCGGATGCGACCCAAAATGACAACACTAACGAAGAGTCTTCCTCGTCGAGTGCAGGTGGGGAGGGGACGTCTGAATGTGTCAGATCCCGCTACCGGCCTGTGAGCGTGCGCAGAGCAATCGGCACAGTGGTGATAGCCGGAGTGGTGTGCGGCATCGTCTGCATTATGATGGTGGCGGCGGCGGCATACGGGTGTATCTACGCCTCGCTCATGGCCAAATATCAGCGGGAATTGAAGAAAAGGCAGCCGCTAATGGGAGACGGAGAGGGGGACGGGGAAGACAGAGAGGACAAGCAGATCTCCTCTGTTGCTTGAGTTAAAAGAGGCAAATCGAAGTGTGGAGGGGTCATATCCAAAGGGCTCGAGAGGAGAGAGATGGTTACGCTTTCATCAGTGCTTCAACACTGTAAGAGTAGCTTTAGATTCCTTTTATTTTTAATGGAAATGTTTTCAGGTAGAGGGGCCGCCAATATGTTTATGAAAGAGATCACCACAAACCATTAAAACCATAATAACTATGTTGTGAATGTAGAATCTTAGAACACATATTGCTGTTTGTTTTTGTTCCATATTATTATTATTGGGTTTCAGCTTCCAGTTTCATGCTTTTTTTGGACACAACTCAAAATACATTATTATATATTATATGTTTGCCATTTTCATTTTTGGTGAAACTCATACATCCTGCAGACAATCAATTTACTGTACAAGGCAACTTGTACCTTTACAACCAACTAACCCTGTGAAAATATGTGCCTCTGTATCATCTAATTGTCCCTTGACAATTAGCTGATACAGATGCACATGTCTTTAGGGGGTTTCTTTTAGTACATCTTCAATCCTCAAATAGGGTAATAATTTGAGTGCTATTCATTTTGGTCTATTTAAAAAAAAAAAGAAGCTTACTCTGCATATTCTTTCAAGGGAAGTATGTTTTCTTTACATGCTCAAATCCACTCCAGTATTTTACAGATTCGGCTAAGATCCCACCCACCAGCCTCCAACTTTTGCTACATTACAGTACCTGGCAGTGAGAAAGTGGTTTTGGCATTGACTAGTTAAAACGTCCTTTAGGAAGACTCTAATGTTAGGTTTAGAGAGAGGTTAAAGGGTACTTTCAGGAGATTTTCAGGGATTTTCAGTACTGTACATACAAAGGTATCAAATGGAACAGTGTAATGTAAATAGAGGAATTATAGCATTTGCTCACAATTCTCAAATGTGTAAAAACAACATCTCTCTCCTCCTTAAACTTGCACTGTGTAACTTGTCTTTATGGAAAGGTTGTTGCTTTCCCATAATTTTTCATAGAAATATAAAATATATTCAGATTTCCCAACAGAATATCGTTTCAAGTTCTTGAGAAATTGTAAAAAAATTAGAGGGCGTGAAGCTGGCGTACTTTAATTTTGAACCAGCTTCTCGGTGAAAAATCTCAAATCTTAGACAAGACACTTTCTGTTAGGACAAACGTCATTTATTTATAAACCCAAAATTTAAGATAATCTATCTTTTTAAGAGAATACATGAAAATGAGTGGTACAGTCCATAAACTCTTTTAAGTGGTTCATGGTGGTAGTCGGTTTGGCCCAGTAGTATTACTAGGCCAAAATCACTTGTCTACAACATTAATAACATTTCCATACTAAAGCATTTGCCATCACCAGACTTTTTACACAGTGCACCTTTAACCTCTTCAAAGCCAATGGTCCGCTCACATCCAGGGCCCAAACTTTCACCTTTGCCTCCTCTTGATTTCTTGCAATGATCTTACTTGACACAGCATGGATGAACTTTTGGACACATAAAAGGTCTACTGTGTTAAGTTTATGGACAGTTTACTGCATAAAACTGGGACTTCTGCCTTCAGATGATGTCATGTTACCTTCAATATGCGAGAGGTCTTATTCTTTTAAAAGTGGTGAAACAGCAGCATGCTCTTCTTGTGGATGTTGTTTTCCAGGCTGAGTCATCAAGATGAACTAAAAGCGTTGTTGACCTTGAGTAACTTTCAATACTTTAACTTCAGCTCAGCAGTGAAAGTTTGCTACAATGGCATGGAAGAAATATATCTGCTATATTTCAAGTACTTTCAATTTAGACTCCAGCACTTTATTTCCCAAGTACGTCGTCATTTAACATTTTATGGCTTGTTTTTGAAGAAGGGGTGGGCGATATTGAAATTGCAATTCGTGCAGAAAATGCATGTGGTGTAAATGCAGTGATTGTGAATTCATTGAAACTACAAGAGTTCATACATATATATTGTTAATTGTATGTATGAATTTTACAATTCTTTGTAATGTAACTGTCAGATTTAGGACGGTTGGGGGTTACCGTGCGTTACGGCTTGCGGATTCATATGTCATTGTTCTAATGCACACAACATAAAACTGTCAGAGCCAAATATTAGCTTCCATAAATCTTCAGAATAGTTTGAATTTAATACTAGTGAGGTTGAGTTTAGCACATTAATAATGCAGTTAACGCAAATCAATTTTTTTGCGTCACCGCAAACTAATTTTTGGAGAAAACAAAAGCAGTTGCACTCACTGGTGATTACTGAATGTCCATCAAGAATTACAATCTCGAGATCACAGCCCAAAAATTTAAGCTACAGTTGTTTCCACTGCACATGATCGTACTGACTTGAATGAAATCATAAACAAAAGAGTAGCCTTTCTTAGAGCAGTAGTAGACAAGTCAATTCTACTATGTTAAATAGTTCTGTACACTATAAAAAACAAAACTATTCAAATATTACCCTATATTATATCAGACCAAACCAAGGCACATCTAGAACAGGGGAAATGTAACATTATAATCGTCTGACAGACATTTTTAAACCAAACTTTTTTTTAATTTGTTGACTTTGAAAAGTCAATCAGAGAAAAGCAGTCAGATTGTTTGCGTTATTACAACGTTTAAACACCCTCACTATAGACAATTTGTGTGATATAAATAGTTGTTTTGTATGAATCTTATTTTGTTCTCATCCTAATACATTATATCGCCCACCTTTTTTATACTAAATGTTTCTCAAGAGCATTCTAAGAAAAAGAGATAGACCATTTGACGCTGCTACTTTCCACATGTAAACCACTTCCATGTTTTTGACATATCTTTCTGTCAATGTTGATATGCAATCAATGAGTGTCTTGATCAACGAGTGTCTCAAATATTGTCAAGGTGTTATCTGTAATATTCACTGTTTTTGCATTAACTAAAATAGTACTAGTTTTATAAGGGTGCGTTCCCAGCCAAAGGAAGAAAGATGTTTTTGAATGTCGACATTGGGCTTTCATTTCATATTGATCCCTAAATGAGTAACATGACTGGTCCCTAAATCTCAGTTTGTAGCCAATAGGTACAAGGGTTATGAATCTTATGATACGATCAATATCTAGTATTTACTGTAATAGACCTTCTCCCACTTTTAAGTATTTGCTGTTTTACTGTATCCAATCATATTGTATGTCTTTGTGTTAGAACAACTGTGTTTTCCATAATAGTTTTGATGTAGATGTGTCTTGTTACTTTGCATATGTTAATCTTAAGAAATGTGTCCGAGGCATAGAAAGAGTTTAGCTAACTATTAAGAACAGTGTTGAGCATGCTGCTCCATGATTCTAACATGTTATATTCATAGTTACAGAGATACAAATGTATTATTGGATATACAATATTATTATCTGACTTTCGCTTCATTGAGTTGATACAAAACCAGCATTCTAAAACACTGATGGTTTTTAAGACTGATGGTGTTTGGGCATTAGTTATTGTTGCTTACATTTTCAGAATGTGAAAAGCTAATTTTGTCATACAGAACTTCCTCTTTACAACAATATCCTACTCATTTGGTGGGAAAACCAATGCCACTAATGCAATTCAATGAAATTAACACAACGAGTCAGTTCAAAAAGGAATATGTTACAGCAATGGGTTATACTTTAATTACCACAAAACTGTCACGATAAAAATGATATTGTTGCTCACAAAACACTACACAGCGATGAAACTTCAGTGACAGGTAAGGCTCCCTCCTGGGTTTTGTGGAACAGGTACAGAGGAGTTTTATGTGCCAAACTCCTGAACAAATAATTCTGGAGAAGGCCTCAGTACAGAGCAAAGCAGATGTAAACAGCTGCAACAAATTCCTCCAAAGTAAAACTGTCTCCAACTTTATCCAGATCACCTCCAACATTCAAATACAATATGTTCTTTGGAGGTTTCCTGATAATGAACAAAAATAAAGTCCACAGATTTCAGAACACGTAAGGCTTGATAAAATCTTAAACTGGTCTTCACTACTAAATAAATAAACATGATTATAATTAAGTAGATATAAGTTGATGGTACCTATACCTAAACAGCCTAAAATGGCTTAACTCTATCTATACTAATCTCTAGTGTGTCCTCTCCTCCTGTAGGTCATCAGTTAATGTGTTGTGGCTGTGTAGCGGACCAGGCCATTTTTTATAGCCTCTATGTGTGCGTGTATAAAGACAGAGAAAATATAGTTTGTTACTGAAAATGCAGCAGCCAAGAACACTTTGGGCTTTGACAACTCAAGAGGTCAGAACTCCACCCTGTGTTGTACAAAAATTATGTGATAATGAGATGATAATGCAATCTCTGTGTTGAATATGCATCGACTACAATAAAACATATCACACTTTATGTCTACTTCATCAAGCATTTCACTGAGACTTTGATTTGTATTTTTGGGGGCTCCATCAACACAAATATACAATACTAATTAAGACAATAAATGCCAGTTTGGCATTTATTTAACAGTAGACATAAAACTGATCCAGAAACTCGAGGTGGAAGTAGCTGGCCTACATGAACAGAAGTGAAATAACCAAGATTGATTATTTTACTTTTGGGGTTTTGTGTATTCAATACTTTTGATTATGCATCACAAGTTCATTTTAAGTAAGTCATCTTTATTAATATACCGCCTTTCACAGACCAGAGTCACAAAGCGGTTTACAACTGTGGGCATTAGTCCTCTCACTCCACACAGAGGGGGGAGCAGGGTCACCAGTACAGGAGGCGCATGCCAGACCTATTGTACATGTTTTTAGTGGTAGGTAGGAAACCTACGCGGACACAGGGAGAACATGCAAACTCCACTCAGAAAGGCCAGGATTTGAACCCAGGACCTTCTTGCTGATAAGTGAGAGTGCTATCCACTCAGCCACGGTGGCTGTGCTTTCTTATCAAACGTGGAACCATGCATTGCAGAATACTGGAGGGGCTGATGGCACATGCTGCCTCGCTTCTGTCAGTGTGCCCCAGGGCAGCTGTGGCTACAGTAGTGTATGGAGTGAATGAAACATGGACGTCTTTGAGTGTCCAGAAAAAGCGCTATATAAAACCGGTGCATTAAATAACAGCAAATACATACGTTTTTTTGTAGAAGGAAGAGCAAATGTCTCAAAAATGTGAATATTGTAGGTAAAGTTAAAAAATATATAAGTTTTTCAGAAAGCTAACCAGTATTTAAAAACACTAATCAATCTCAGCATATGGATCAATATTGATTTCGATTTGATTAATAATCCAGGTTTAAAACAAGACAGAACCAAATATATGAGACATAACGTGCCCAGAGCATCCAGTCACACAAAACAGACTGAATATGTGTAATGAACAGTGGCCTCTAGTGGTCATTTATACAACTGAAGAATACACTGCACACACATACTGTACACCTGCAATTCCAATTCATGACTCAGCGTGATTTTATGCATTGATATTATAAATGAGTGTTGTCTTCATGATATCACACATCTCCCTTTCTTCACTCACCCACTTCATGTCAGTTTTAGGACATGAAGCTCAACATTTATTCTATCTTCAATATTCCTCACATCAACTACAGAAGTGAGAGCTTAAGCAAAGGTGACAGGAAGAACAACGTAAACAGCAGAGTGTGCAGAGGCAACAGATTAAGACTGAAAACAGGTGAGCAGGACATTTAAGAGGTTTAACTGTTACAACCTCAAACAGACTCAGAAAGTCAAATGTCATGTCACAGGCTTCACATGGGACTTTTTACAAAACTTCTCAAACACATATTTCATAAATAAAGGTTCATAAAGAGTCCCTTTTATTTAAAAAATATATAGGCAGAAAATAAAATTGGCAGAAAATTAAATAGTTGAAATAGACTGTTATTTCTTGGCAGATACATCCAACTGGTAAATTAACTTTTCACATTTGCGTTTCACATTTGTCAGAGAAGCAGAACCAAGGGAAATGAAACATCTGCACAGAGCTCATCACCAACCACAAAAGCATAGATAAAGCTCTGGTTTTAATTGGAAAACTACTCTGTAAAAAATCCTTTTATCTATGCGACAATACAAAAAAACGGTGATAAAAGCCAAAGTCCAGTCACTCACAAAAAGCATGAAAAGGAAAATTAAATTTCATCCTACCTGCAGCGATGGCAGTTTTCTTCCCCACGGTCACTGTCACGGTGGTGGTGGAGATGACAATCCTCCCTGCTGGTAAAATACAAAACATAATGTAAGAGAAGCACAAAATAATAAAAACCTGAGCCTGCATATGCCAATAGCATTTGTGAGCTGTAGCAATTACCTTTAGCAGGCGAATATGTGAAAAGCGTTTGCAAATATGTGATTGAGCCGCTTAGATTAAGCAGGTATTATTTATAAAAGCCATGCGTTTATCTGCTTCTGCAAAGCTCCTGATGCTGAACGGCCACACAACCACTGCTTACAGCCAGATGAACATTCAAATATCTGCCCAAAATGACTGTAAATCCAATAGAATATTTGACTAAAGAAATGAAGAATTTTGTTGTATGATAATTGCAATGAAATAACAACTCAAACAAAGTATTGGGTAGATGCTCTGAAAGGAATTGCATGCCTAATAATTGAATTTTCCTCTACCATCCTCATCATCATCACCATTGTGGTCTTCCTCCACTTGTTCGCTAGTCTCCCTGCGCTCCCTCCCTCTCGCCTCTTCTGACTCGACACCCACCTCATCTGAACTGAAGGTGGCGCTATAGTCGGCCTCATGGTCTCTGAACACATCTGAACATACATTTTCACAACTTTGTACAAAGACTATGTCCCGGATAGGTGCACACACATCATTTGTCTCATTAAAAGCAGAAATAGTAGCGAGCAAGAATTCTCAATTCAATAAACTTTTTAGAACAGCTCTGGACTCTTTGAATCAGTGCATAAAGAGGACAATCACAATCAAGCAATTGTAGTATATTCAGCAAGTTCACAGGGAAAGACAAAGAGGGATTATTGGTCCATGAGGTAAATTGAGTTGATTCAGCTTCTGTTGAAATGTTGAAATATGTCCTACCTCTCGAGTCCTGCCTGGGCATGTAGTACACAAACTGTCCAGCAGGGTACTCAGCAGCTCTGCGGTACCATAGTGGGAACTGGTCCAACGTGAACAGATTCTCTTTGTCTGATGAGGTCAGGAAAGACCTGTAGAGACAAAGTAAAAATAGCACAGATTACAAAATACTATCGGACGTAAACAGGAGAAAGTACAGGTAACACATGGTTATGAAGCGAGATGTTCCTCTTGTGTTTCCAGAGCAATCTACATTCTTCTACATTCAACATATTAAACAAACAAAAGGAATACACTATATATTTATTTATTTGATAGGGACAGTGCACTTTCATGATCATCGGTAAAGTTATGTTAGCATATGTCAGATTATATCAGAAAATATCATTTGTTGTCTCTAAGCAGCTAAACAGTGTGTTGACACGGAGGAACCATTGAGGAGTGATAGAAATATACAGCAAATAGCAATAGTAATTCTGATAAATATTTTCAGCTGTGGTGCTCACACGTATTTCAACACACAAATTACAGATGGATTAAAAACTATTTGAGTTGACTACTCACGCAGAAAGTCTGTTCTCGATCCCAGCGTATCTCTGAACTCTCATTAGGCCTGAACGCGTCCCAAGAAAAGCTGTTTCAACTCCATCATCTATGCTTTAAGATATGAGGGAACACAACAGGAAACTTTGAATACTATGTTGTTTAATTCAAAAGCATTTTAACCTTGTATAATTGTTTACCCAGAGGAATTGAGCATGAGAGCTGTCCAATAGGCTTCCATGGGAGCAGTGACCACCGCGTCAAAGAGAGTCTGGGACAAAAGCAGTGCATCACCTGTAAAAAAACATATGCATTAAGTTCAAATCCTTGACTCTGAATAAGGCACTTATGGCACTTGGGCAAATAAACCAGATCCCAATGATGAATGAGGAGCCAGTGCCTTACATTCTAGATCAGGCTCTTTCCCCGTAAGGTATTGCAGCACGGCCTCAAGCTGGTTGAGTTTACGATGAGCAGGGTCTATGTCTGTCTCACAATATGTCCTGCAGAAAGAGGCACAAGATCAAAAAAAACATGCAACATTATACATTCCAGACCAGATCAAAGCTCTGATATTTTCCTTTTGTTTAAAGAAATACTGTATGTTGGGTGACCTCTGACTGAAAATGGCTAGGCTGACACCAACATTCATTCATAACTCATTCAAAAATAGTAATACATATGTTAAAATAAAGTGGTGGTCTACTGACCATTCACTGGATATGGTGAGATCGGGGCCATTTAAGTCATGAAGGCCTGAAAACAAAAGGGGCATTTGAATAGAAAATGTCACCAGATAATGTCAAAAGTGTATTTATTTTGTAACACTATACATGTTTCAATGTACCTTCTTCAATGGAGACATTTCCCAAGAACATGTAATTCCCAAAGCCTTCTGTCAACACTATGCCCAAACTGCAACAAGGACAAGAACATAAAATGTGTGTGCCTTTGTGTGCGTTACGATAACTTAAAAAAAACATATATCATCATCCCATCATATAAATATACATATAATGAGATGGAATGATTTTTGCCAAGAATTTACCTGAATGGCGTTTCTTTGATGACGGTGTAAAAGTATTTATTCCTGAGAAACATCACTCTGAGCTGCAATAAAATTTATATTGTTAATGAATATCAAAGTGAGATGGAAAATAACATAAATGCATAGAATAAATCCCTTCTAAAAAGAACAAACATGGACCCACATAGTGAAATATGCTTTCCCTAACAACAAAACAACAAAAGATATTGTCATTAGATTGAAAAAAAAAAAATCGTACCCCTTTATCCACCGAAGCTCTAATGTCTAAAGTAAACGTCCCGGTTTCTCCTTTGACCATCGGCGTCCTCAGCTGAAACATGAACACAATCCTTAAATGGAGTCACTACACTGGGTTGGGCATTAATAAGCATTTGCCTCTGCCGACCCCCTTTTCAAACCATGCATACGTTTTATGAGGAATTAACTTGAAAATGGTTATATGCAGGTTTGAAATAAATAAATTGATTGATTGGTTTTCATATAAGGTGGAAGGACACAGCATTCACATTTGTAAACAGACAGACATTTATGTCAGAAGTTCTGGTACAAAGGTGTAATTTGGTCCCTTTTCTCTAAGCTCCTGTCTGAGTACTGTAATACCATGATGTCATTGTACCACTATGACATAACACTCAACAGTTTTCTGCCTTTTAAAACAAAAGTTTTGCCCCTTTATAAGAAAATGTTGCAGGTAAAAGTACGATCTTTGCAATCGCATGGCTGTGTTCTCAGCTGGTAATCTGGACAAAAAAAAAAAAAAAACTATCTCTGGGGTTAGCATAGGGAGAAGGCAGGCTGAACGCATATAACAAGTGAAAAGTCTTTAAAAAGTTGTATTTAGGTGGCACTTTAATGAAAAGGACTGAACAAGACTCACCAGCGCATCCGTATCCTCCCATTCCACCTCCGATAGATCAACGCTGTTATAATTGGGTTTGGGCTTTAATTTCTTTCCTTCTTTATACTGAAAAGAAAAGCCCACATGTCAGTATTTTACCAATGCAAGCGAATGGCACTGATCATTCTGTCTTCACCAGAGGACGGAGGTCAGGGTGGGACAAAATGTACCCATTATTGGTGATGAGAAAAGCATACCCATGGACTCCAAGCTGAAAGTGACACACAGACAACTTTTGAATACTGAACACATTCAAGTGTAGGATAGACAATAAAAACTAAGGAGTGATGAAAAAATAAATAATGGAGAGCAGTTAAAACAATTGATGCATGTACACTGACCTACAATTATTACTGTCAAGTGTATACCTTGTATCTCAAAGCCAGCCTCATGAGTTCTTTGAGAGCTACATCAGTTCCAACCACACCCAGTAAAATCCCATGAGACAACTGCAAAGATTGTCAGAAAAATCACACATAAAATCACACTAAAATAATAATAACAATAATAAAGTGAGAAATATAAAACAAAAAATTACATTTATTCTTATACTGTAAATCAAATTGCGATTGCGAAAAATCACACTTATATTATGTATTATGTCACAATCGTGCATGCAGCAAATAATATAATAATAGCAAGCAAATCTGATCTAAAAACAACTCTACAGTTCATTTGTAAACCCTTGAACAGATCCTCACAGTTTCTTTCTTCTTGCTGAAAACTGGCATGGCGACTGAGGTCATCAAGAGGAGGTTTTGTGCCTGAGTGTTGAACAGCTGAAATAAAAAATAAAAACTGTGTCAAAGCCTGATTAATAACGACAAAAAGGTAGGGTGACTGAAAACTAGTTATTGCATTAATAATTAAAGGACAGCTTCTAAATAGCAGCTAATGTGATACAACTGTAAAATCTACAACTATGGATTGAATAAAGCGCAACAGCCTACTTTATTATGACTCACTACTTCTACTGATTGTTCTAGTAATCAACTCTCATGTGAATCTAATGGTTCTGCAGTCAAAAACGTTTACCTCTGACTTGTTTGGAAACTGAATGAGGAAATGGAGAGAAATAAAAGCATGTAATTGATGGAACAATGTGCAGAGGCAGAAAATGTCATAAAGTGGCAGAGGGCTGAGTGAGGTGTTTCCAGTACATCGCTCAGTGGTTTGGAAAACAGTGCTATGGCAAATTTAGACAACTGCTGCATTGTGGAGATCCATCGAATGGTGGAGGACTCTTTTTTTAATTTTTTTATCAGGAACGACTCAATAAAGAACAGCTTTATAGGTTGGTGGTCATTTAGAAAATGGAGGTATGCACTGCAGGAATGACTGAAAAAATACAATACTGAGATAAAGCTGGGTTGGTACTTTACAACAAATAAAGCTTGAAACGTCAATATCTTAAGGAAGATTCCAGTCTTACACAGTGGTGTTTAAAATAGCAAGGATGTGTCACTTGGTTTAAATCAGGTTAAAATTTCCAGATAATCATATATTATAATAGTTTGACAACACGTGGGAAATCCATTCCGAGAAGTCACTGGTGAATCTTCTTGTACTTCGGGCTGTTTAGATCCTTGTGCACAACACAGCCCTTTTAATCCACTTCAAAACATTCATTCATTCATTTTCAACCCCTTTATTAATCCACTTCTGGGTCGGGAGGGTGGCAATGAGAGCTGCACCCAATGCTCATAGTCAACTGAGCCACTGTCGCCCCATACCACTTCAAAACAAATCATTTCAAATGCAGGAAGAACTCTGTGAACATCAGTAGTTTACACTGTTATTGAATATTAATGAGACAATACACTAATATACAGTAAGCATAGCCAGGTGGAAGCAACAGGATAGACTTATCAGACTCCCAGATCCAGTGCATGTTAGTGATGAACGTCTGAATGGTAAATGTCTTGTTCACAACAGAGAAAGTGAAGCAAGAAATCCACAGGAGCAGCTGTTTGCTCTTGATCCACAATGAAAAACATGAACAGAATATGATGAACTATATCTGAGACAAAGGAGCACTGACCACACTGTCCATGTATGCTTCAGTCCAGATGATGTCATGGTCATGGTTGATCACCATTGGTCGACTCAGGACATGCAGATACTCCATCACGTTTTCCTGAACATCGGCCAGTGTAGAAACATGAGTGTAATAACCTGAAAAACAATATTGTAAGTATACAGGTGAGTGGAACATGTGTGGTGCCAGTTTATAAGCAGGACCTGGAAAAGACCTGGTGATTATTATTCAGGAAAACTTCAGGTTGAAAAGTTGGATTTCTGAACTTTACTATCAAATAAAATCTATGTCCTTTGTTCTTTCCTGACAAACAGTTTGCTTTTTCACATGCATCTAATTTTTGGTCTAAAGATGTGACACGTTTAGATCAGAAAAGTGGAAAAAGAGAGGGACAAATTGTGACTCACAGAGTTCTTTCTAGAAGCATTGAAAAATACCGTTATCTAATTAGATGAAGACAGCTTGTTGTTAGGACAAGTTAAGTTTAAAAAACAGTTAACAGTTTCAAAACACTGATTGGGAAATGATCTGCAGCTCTCATGGTGAGGACATAGAGAGCCTGACACACTGCATTACAGACTATATTCTCTTCTGTGTGGATGACACTGTACCAACTAAGAAGGTGCGGTGCTTTTCTAACAACCACCCATGGGTGACCCCTGAGCTTAAAGCCCTCCTGAACCTCAAGAAAAGGGCTTTCATCTCAGGGGACAGGGAGGAGCAGAAGAGGATCCAGCACGAGCTCCAGTGGAGGATCAGGAGGGCCAAGAAGGACTATGGGAAAAAGCTGGAGCAGAAGCTGGCCCAGGGAAACGCCCGCGACGTGTGGAGAGGCCTAGAACAGAACATCTCCGGCTTTGGACAGAGTGCCAGACGAACAGCGGATGGAGACCAGCACCGGGTGGATGAATTTAACCAGTACTTCAACCGGTTTGATTCTCCCCCCTCTCCATCTGCCCCCCCTCCCGCCCCCATCTCTTCACACGTCCCCAGCCCAGTGGACACCGCCCAGTGGACACTGCCTCCGGCTGCCCCGGGCCCTCCTGCCCCCGCATCCCCAGCCCCCACCTCGGACAGTACACCCCGGTCCCCCCCCTCTCCATCACACCGGACCAGGTGAGGAGTCAGCTCCAGCGCCTGAAGCTGAGGGAATCCGCAGGATCAGTCCCAGGCTGCTAAGGACCTGTGCAGACCAGCTCTCTGGGGTCCTCAGCTACATGTACAACCTGAGCTTCAGCCTGGAGAAGGTCCCTGTCCTGTGGAAGAACTCCTGTGTGATCCCGGTTCCAAAAACAGCACACGCCAAGGAACCGGCTCACTACAGACCAGTCGCACTGACCTCCCACCTGATGAAGACCATGGAGCGGCTCATCCTCACCCATCTCCGGTCCGTGGTCAGCCCCACCCTGGACCCGCTGCAGTTTGCCTACAGACCCAACATCGGAGTAGAGGACGCCGTCATCTACTTCCTGCAGCGGACGCTCTCCCACCTGGAGCCCGCCGGGAGCGCTGTGAGGGTCATGTTTTTCGACTTCTCCAGCGCTTTCAATACCATCAGGCCGGCACTGCTGCAGGGGAAGATGGAGGACGCGGGAGTGGACAGTAGCCTCACTGCATGGACCATCAACTACCTCTCAGACCGACCACAGTACGTGCGGCTGCGCAGCTGTGAGTCTGAGGTGGAAGTCTGCAGCACTGGGGCCCCTCAGGACACTGTCCTCTCACCGTTTCTCTTCACTATCTACACCTCAGACTTCACACACGACACACACAGCTGCCACCTGCAGAAGTTCTCCAACGACTCCGCCATTGTGGGCTGTGTGTCTGAGGGGAACGAACTGGAATATCGGTCGGTTGTCAAGGACTTTGTCGACTGGTGTGAGCGCAACCACTTGTGCTTGAACACCAGTAAGACCAAGGAGATGATCATCGACTTCAGGAGAAAATCACTTTCCCACACGCTGCTGAACATCCAGGGGGAGGACATTGAGCTGGTGGACAGCTTCAAGTACCTGGGTGTTCACATTAACAATAAACTGGACTGGTCCCATAATACAAACGCCCTGCACAAGAAGGGCCAAAGTCGCCTCTTCCTTCTGAGGAGGCTGAGGTCCTTCGGAGTGAGCAGGCCTCTGCTCAGGACTTTTTATGACTCTGTGGTAGCTTCTGCCATTTACTACGCTGCCGTGTGCTGGGCCCCGGGCAGCACAGAGCGGGACAGAAACAGACTGAACAGGCTGGTCAGGAGGGCCAGCTCCACTCTGGGCTGCTCCCTGGACTCTGTGGAGGAGGTGAGGGACAGGAGGGTGCTAGTCAAAGCCACCTCCATCATGGACAACACCTTCCACCCACTGCACAGGACTGTAGAGGAGCTGAGGAGCTCCTTCAGTGGAAGACTGAGACACCCTCAGTGTAGGAAGGAGCGCTACCGCAGGGCCTTTATCCCCACCGCTGTCAGACTGTACAATAAGTCACTTTAAATGATCACTGTGTGAAAACCTGCACTACTATTGACACTGTTTCCAATTGACACTTGTCACTTTTGTTGCACATAATTATTGTCACTTTTATTGTACATATATATCCTGCATGTAACATGTTTGCACATTTCCTCCTTTTGCACAATCTGAGTGTCTCTATCCATGCCAAATGTGACATGTAAATTTCTCCTCTGTGAGATAAAATAAAGCTTATCTTATCTTAAAAACAAATTTAAAAAACACTCATTTTAAATCCTCCAGACAGAGGATTCTCCTCTAAAGACGACCTCCTAAAGACAACCTTGACAACTTTTTCCAAAACCGGGCATCGCAGTCGTGCGTAGTCCTAATGTCTGCAGTGGAACCATGGCAGTTTGGATCTATGCATGCTACGGCTTGAAATTTTCATTGCGGATGAGATAAAATCCAGTCCTGGTGACATAGCAGGACCTGGACATGCCGCGCACATGTATTATTAATTTCCCTATTCAGCTTGTATAGAAAAACCCGCCTGTACCCTGTCTGTCCCTCCCTCCTCGCTATTTTAGATGTTAATTAAGACGGCTAGCCCTTGTTGTTGACTTTCTCTATTCTCTTAGCCTCACAAATTAGACTCAAGTAAATACAAGTTAGATACCTACCTTTGTTATTGCAGGCAATCCATTTGACATTTTCAGCAAAGGTCATTTCTCTTCCAATGAGATACGTAAACACACGGACCTAAGAACACAACAAGTAATCTCTAGCAGAAAGCAAACTACAATAATGCCATTTACAATGTTATCATTAAACAATATCAATGAATTTTAATCTACAAAATGAACAATATAATGGGGTACAAATAAGTATTTGGAAGTTGTCAATTGTGCATGTTGTCCCACTTTAAAAAATGAGACGGGTCCTTAATTATCATCATAGGTACGAGTAAACGAGTGGCCTTGTGTTGGAAAGGCGCCATACAAATAAAGTTGATTGAGTTGATTGATTGATAAACTGTGAGTGACAGAATGTGAACATTTTGTTCATGCAGAACTGTGATGTATGTGAAGTCAAAAACCTTCTCCCATCAGAGACAGCATTGGAGCAAAGAAGGAGGAGCTTGTAATGCATTCCAATATGCAGACTTATCATTGTATAATTACACTAATAATATATCGATGTGCACCTATGATGAAAATTAAAGACCCTTCTAATTCTTTCAAGTGTGGCAACTTGCACAATCAACACTTGCCAAATACTTAAAAAAGGTTTGGTAAAAACAAATGAGAAAAATGAAATGCATGTCCTTGCACACTGACCCTCTTGTCGGGCCAGTTGAACTCCTCAAATACCCCCTCAAAGCCTTCCATTGCCCCGTCGGTGATCAGCATGATGGCCTGGTTACACAGACTGCCCTGGCCCATGGCTGTGGCCTGCACAATAATGACCATAATAATGGCTTTTTAATCATGCATTTATAACACCAAGTCAAGAACTTTTAGACGACAAACCTCATTGAGGATCTTAAACGACTCCTTCATGGCTTTTGTGACTTTTCCTTCACCCTTCACATGAAGCTCATCGACTAATATTTTGAAATGCTGAAAGAACACAAATAACAAAATAAACTCTCCAATACCAACCCCAAAATGACATTCTATAATAGATACATTTATACATTTTGTTTTAGAAAGCTTTGTTAAAACAAAACACGCACAATACTTTAATATTTAATAATAAGTATAATAAACGCTAAAACAGTTTGGTTTCTAAATTAATGAAATGTTTGTCCGCTGTGTTTACACTGAACACAGCTTGGCAAAAGACTTGGTCAAAAAGTGTGTTGAAAGGTGAGTCAGTGTGAATTGAAACTACAACTTTTTGGTCAGTGTGAAAATCCCTAAAAGAACAACCTTACTAGTAGTTTAACATTAATGTAATGTTATGTAATATAATTGTATTCTATTTCTTTAGTCCTTGAGTAATCAAACTGATCAATAATGGAACGAGCTCTGCCCTAAAGGAGATAATAGAGCAGATATCAGAACTAATCGGATGCCTCGGCATTAATTCCCAATGTTTATAATATGAACACCACTGAGTTTTGATAATCTGTCTAAATCAGATTAACACCATAGGAGATTATCATGGTGATGGTACTGCAGGTGTGAACCATGTGTCTATACCTCTCTATTGTCCAGGTCCGCTTGCACCAGGGTCCCCTTGAAACATGGCTCCACATAGCGCACATAATCACTGTACTGCAAAACAAAAATACACAGTTTGGAAGAGGAGCGTTGTATGTAGCTTGTGTCTTTTCCAATCAAACTGGACATGGGTTGTCAGTACAGAGCCATTAGGCCAATACCTACTTCATAAGATGGACCCGAACAAGTCAAACAAGTCAAACAAAAGTACGTCATTTTCATGGACTAGTTCCTATTCGGGATCAAGAATTCTCTTTCCCATCTAGGCCTTACCTGAAAAGCTCTCATCCTTGCGCTGAGGTCCAGTGACTCTGGTAAACCAGGGATGTTTCTGAGTTTGCACAAGTACTCCTTCCTTTCCTCTTTCGAGAAGTTTATAATGCGACTGTCGCCAAACGTTATGCCACAAAAAATATTAAAGCGAAAAGGAAGCTTTGACTAATTTTATTTGACAGCATACTTCTATCAATAATCTGCCTTAAATGTCAGGTCCCGTGGGCGCAGTTTTAAACCGTGCAGAGAGATTACGGGCAGGGGATTTGTGAGCCTGTATGATTGCACATTCCGTAATTCCAGGATCAAGTCTGCTTATTACACTGATTTGGAGTCGTCTAGCAACAAGGCCAAAAAATTACTGGAAAATCCCAAAACAAAACAGCATTGGAAGTTTCACTGCTGCTCTGAGCATTATGACCTGATGTTAGTTTTGCACTGGCCAAACGATGGATGTGCCCGACAACTACTACAATTCTCTATGACACATTTGTCAAAGTCAAGGCCCGCGGGCCGGATTTGGCCCGCGGGCCTTGACTTGATGGCAGGCAATGAGTTAAAGGCGCTATACATGTTTCTGCAATGTTTGAATGTTTAGCACCACCCCCCAACTCGCTCAATGGCTTCTCATTTCCCCTACGCTCTCATTCCACGGAGCCACCTAGTTTTATTTGCGATCTGATACATATGCTAACATTAGCATTAGCGCAACTTCTTGTAAGATGTACAACAATCACTGATGAAATGGTACAAAAGCAATGCACTGCTAACACAATATAAAAGTAAAAGAATACCGCTAGTTTCGCGTCCAAATTTATTCATTAAAACATTAGAATATATTCGAGTAATTAATTATAATTTATTAAACAGCTCCTCACAGCAGCAGTAGAACACTCCATTGACTTGAATGCAATTCTTCCGATCATTTTTTCTTGATAACAGAACTCTCAAATCAATAATGACCGCAGCCCCAATGCAATCTCTGTTTGTAATTCAGGTGTGTGAAATACTGCCATTACTCTGCAAGTACAAGCTATCAGCACCTGTCACGACTACACACTTGTCTGTGTAGAGAAGTTAGCGGAGCTAGCCACGCTCAATAAACAAATACATATCAATCAATCAACAGCATTAAACGTTAATCAGACAATACAGTATACATATACATCCTTAACCCTTTAGGCGCCAGAGTTTTTTCAAGAAAATATACAATTTTGATTTCAAGATTTCAAAAGGCTATAACTTTAAAATGGTTTGAGATAAAGGCATACTGTAAATTAGAAATATCTTCAGTTTGAACCAAACTTTGGGATGGAAGTTGATTCGTCATCTAATTTGCATATTGTGACGTCATCAAGGTGGCGGCCATTTTGGAAAATGTTAATTATAGTATAAAGACTTCAAAAAGCTGTAGCTTGGGAGTTATTTGAGATCAGGGAATACTATAAACAGTCAATGTGAAATATCTTTAGTATAAAATGAATTTGGGATAGAAATAAATTCCCTGATCCAGATTATAGATAATGTTTTAGCACTGGTTCGCGGCCATATGGAATTGTATTATTTTCAAAGACCTTCAGTGATCAAGACAGCACTCTTTATAGTTTACAGTCATGAAATCTTGAGATTGGTTTCAATATTTCCCTTTCAAAGAAGTGGTGGAAATGAGGCTCAAGGATTTACCGTTTAGAAACAGAGAGATGAAATGAATGGGCTCAGAACTTGTCAGATCGTCTCAACAACATACAACAGGCTCTTCAACACTTCTGATCCACTTTTGTGGATTATTTTCTCTCAAGAACTGCCTTCATCCTCATCATCACTGTTGGTAAAGGCAGTGAACGCGATTAGCGATGTGGTTTTTTTTTTTCCGCGGCTCTCCCGCGACTTCTCCCGCGTCTCCCGTGTTCCCCGTGGATGTCTACCCCCGCTACTTGCTCCCACATGCCCGGTGTTATGATGCCCCGGTCCCCTCCACCACGGATCCTGCTTGGCGTTCACAGAATGCTTCTATCGCGGCCACACGGAGGACAAGCAGCCGCTGCACTGGGGCTGATTGTGGACTATATGGCTCGGTCTCCTCGTCACTAATAATGTCCGTGTCTGCTTCACTGGACACCTGCATGTCTTCCTCCTCTGATTCTGAGTCAGCCAGTACCAGACCAAGTACTTCTCTGGTACTGAAGACCTCGTGAGTAAAATAAAAACACTCTCTCCCTCTGCTCTGCTCTCGCTCCTCTCAGCTCTACCGCTGCTGCTTCGCCTCCGCGCTGCTGCGCCGCAGGTGTTTTACGACCTCAATTTACTCAAAAACTTTCAATATAACCACACCCACAAATGCTGCTCATATTACAGGCACACATGTCCACTAACCCCTGGTGAAAAGTATTAACAAGATTCTGCACCACATTTTTACATACAGCCTGTTTAAGTGAGCAATGTTGCTTGTCGCAATATTGCGACTTTGGCGCTTAAAGGGTTAACACACATGCACGGACGATTTCAGAATTTGCTGTCAACGTTTTCATGACAAAAATATTGTTTTAAAGTGACAAAAAGCGATCGCGAAAAACCCGGAAGTTACCATGAAACAGCTAGCTAGCTAAGCTTACCTGCCTAGCACGTCCCGGTGAAACCTTTGGGAGCTAACTATTTTATTTGCAGTCATTAAATATATTTCAAATTGTAAGGGGTGTCTAATATTTGTTCGAATATATATATATTTTTTATTTTAGAATTATATTCGAATTTTGAAGTCGAAGTCCTGGTGTTTAGCAGCGTTGTAGAGACTAGAGGACGCAGGCTGCTCGCTGCTCGTTCTGTGAGTGGAGGAGAACGAGCGTCCCGCTCAGACTCTACTCAGCACTTTTCAAGGCCTAAACTCATACACCGCTGAATCAATGACCTCAAGTTTTCAATTAAATTATGTATTATGATACAACTTGTATGTAGTAAAAAGCATTTTATGAACTACTTAGAAAAAAAATCGGGTATACTGTAGCTTCTTTAATAAACATTGAACCAGTCCGGCCCTCGGCTCGCAGCAAATTTGTTTTTTATGCCCTCTGATGTATTTGACTTTGACATGCCTGCTCTATGACATTCACCGACATAAGATAGTCTAGAACATTCCCTCCATGCAGTAATTCCAGAGGCCCGGCCCACCTTAGCAGCCTGCTCTCATTGTGGCGGAGCAATGGCTCTACTCAAAGCTCATTTTGACATCTTCCGCTATCTTGTCCTTTCGGTCAGTACTCAAACTCAGAACCGTAGGTGAAGGTGGGAACGTAGACTGAGCAGTAAATCCAGAGCTTTGACTGCAGACACTGCTCCCCCTTCACAACAGTCTGATACAGTGACCGCATCACTGTACAAGGTCCACTGATCAATATGTCAAACTCACGCACCATCCTTCCCTCATTGTGAACAAGACCAGAGAGACTGGAACGGCTCCAGTGGAATGACTTCACCACATGGAGAGGACAAGGCCCCCTTCTTCAGTTCAGAATCATGGCCTCAGATTTTTATGCTGATTTCACGACATAGTCCTTTCTGTCTTTTTTGTACAGCTGCAATCTGATTGAGCATCTGAGTATTGTACTCACAGCAATTATGTTGACGAAATCGTTCTCTCCTAACGTGTCCAGGATGGTGTTGATGGTGTGTTTGGCTATGGTCAGTCTGAGCCCCTTCATGCTTCCACTCACATCCACCACAATGACTACATCTTTAGGAGAAGTAGCTGCTTGAATATACCTACAAAAAATAGACAACAAGAACATTGACATTCTAGAAAAATAAATTATCTAAAATTATTAAAAAATCTATAATAATTATATGATTGCGACTTTTCTTTTTCACTTGGAATACATCCAGTCATGCAGCAAAACTTTCTACTTTGTGCTGTAGGTCTAAAAAATGAACATGTATAGGTGGACTGGAGGCCAAACCTATTCATGTGTTGTGTATAAAAATGTAGTTTGCACAAACATTAAAGAGGGAATCTTATTTGTTGTACTCATTAAGAGATACTGAAAGTTTTTGTATTGCATAATTACTCTTTGAAAAGAAAAGACAATTTTAAAATGAAATGGATAATTAAAATACATTCACAGCAAGACAAAAATTCAATTAAACAAAATTATTAGGGACGTTAGAGATTGTAAGAACATTTTGTTTGTCTGAACCATGTTATTTATTTCCAACAAATCTCACCTGGTCTTTTTGGTTTTCTCTCCGACTAATGTTACATTACCTGTACATAGCCGATAGACATAAGTCACTCGTGCAGGAAGGGTGCAGGCAGAGGAGTAGTCTGATCCTATTACTGCACCCTAACCACTCTCCCATTAAACTATTTATTCCCACTGGGATTATATTGACATAAATTAGATTGCCTTTTCTACACTAAACTGCACTTGGCGTCACACAAGAATCTCAAACTTTGGATTTTGGCAATTAAGATATAATCGTCTATGTCACGCTTTTGCTTAGCAGGGTGAACTTGGTGAATTGATTATTCAGCAGAGGGCACTGTAGTGCAAGCTATGAAAATGGGTCTCTTCCTGGTGGTCTGATCAGCTGCTGGTTAGCTGTTATGACTGTATCTGGTGCAGCCGGGATGTGGCATTACATTTATAAGGAGTGTGGATGGCATCTTCCCTTTCTGTGGAGCAACATGATTGTGGTGGTGTTGTGGGATACCAGGTAGCACTGGTTGGCCCACTGCTGCTTTGGCTGACTATGAAATACTTATTAAAATTAGTATATTTGTTGAAAACCTGAACTGTTCAAAATAATATACCTGGAACCCCCATTGTTTATTGTGTCAAATCTCTCAGTAAGGAGTGGCGTTGGGAAAATGTAATGTTAACGAGACATTTGAAAAAGAATCACCTCACCTATTTGTCTTCAAGTCACACTGACTTGACATGACTCAAATAATGTGTATATATGTCAGCAATTATGTATATATATATATATTTTTTTTTTTTTTTATATATATATATGTATTTCAGCAATTTGAAAAGTAATACAGTGGTACACTCTTAATATCTGTGAAGACAAAAAAGGATTATACAATGTACGATTAAATGTAAGACTGAAGTCATTGGCATGACTTCAGTGTGTGACACTTAACAAAGTACTTCAATCAGATAGACGTTCATTAATTTAGAAAAGGTGCATTTATTATGCAAGGCTTTTTAGATCATTTGGGAATATACAGTACATTCCCTCCCTTTGCATGGCTATAATTCAACCCAAACATATCAAATAAAAGGCAAATGATTATACTTTGAGAAAACTTGAAAAACAAACCAGTTTCGGTTTCTGCAATCAAATGTTACCACGCCATTGTCATCTGGGATCCACTGAATGCCTGCAATGGAAAAAGTATCAGGCATCATGTGAGAGGTCTTGCCCAAGTTCACAATGGCAGATGTTAGAAAAATATCAATAGAACCAAAACAATAATTGTTTTACTTGCTACTGAATTAAACGACAATATTTGTCATTCCTTTAATTTCAAGAATTCACTTTTCACAATTGCAAAAAATACATAATTTATTTCACACTTTACCACTGAGCCGCATTATTTATTTTGTGTCTAATACTGTATTTGTTTAATGATAACGTATTAGCATCATAAAAGGTTCATGATTTTTCTCACCCAATATTGTGAATGATATTATGAATAGTGGAAGGTTACTGTGTTGCCTCAGCATTTGCCCAGTGCAGTAAAGAGCCTTGACATGTTCTTACAGAGAGTCATCACATTTGAAGAGGAGTTGCACACTCAGTTGCTGCGTTTGGTGAACGGTTCCGCTTGTCGAGCTAAATGTCTGGTTACAGTTCTGTCGATGTAGTCGGAACAAGCATAAACCACTGTCAAGTTGATACCAAACAAAAATTTTTTTGATAAATATATATTAAATAAACAAATAAGCCAGCACTTTTTGGCTCCACTTTACTAAATTATTATAATTTTTTAAATGAACGTAAACTGGATGAAAGTGGCATAAGTTGTAGTAAAGATTAGTTCAATTCAATTCAATGTATTTTTGCATAGCCCCAAATCACAACAGTAGTCATCTCGGAGGACAGTTGAATTCGCCAACACAGATCAGAGAATCAAACAGTTCAAACACATTTATTATAGTATTATAATATTATAACTAGTATTATTGTGTTGTCATTATTGACTCCAATATTTAATGTCCAATTTGTTTAATGAGCACAGACAATGAAATGAATGTCGTTGTCATCATGTCCTGACAGTCCCTGACCACAAGAGCCTCTCAGTCTGACAACCAGAAATAAAGAAGTCATGAAGCGTTCAAAAAGCTTGTACCTGGATACAGCCTGAAGAAGCCCGCAGCACTTCCAAAGTACTGCCATGTGAGCGTTGGGTCTTTCTGGAAGTTTTCAATGAAGACGTCATCAAGCACTTCAGACATGTACACTCCATTCACAATATCTGTGTCTGTAAAGAAAACCGCTGTTAAAAAAATGTTTCAAATCAAAGCGCCCTAACACACACTGACCTTACACACACCCTTCCCAAACCTGCCCCCCCCCTCCACTGCCCAACTCTCCTCTGTTCTAGGTGACCAGCTCAAACAGAACACCTTATAATGGCTTAAAGACACAAAAGCAGTGTCCCCTGAGGTGAGCACATGGCGGTTACCTCTGTTGTAGACGTTGGTAGGGACTTGTATGTTGCTCATCTGCACGTTCACAGGAAGTTTGTTGAAATGTTCATTTTGCTCCAAAGGAAACGCTCCCCCGAGAGACAAGGGGTTCCCATCTTCATCCACTTTGTTTATCAGCATTGAGTTATAGTATTCGAACTGGACACAAGTGCAAATAGTAGTAGATGAACATTAAACAGTAAGTATGAACACAGTAAATTAATGCGTCATGAAAAAAATTATGTAACATAAAAGAAATGATGTTCCCGATGTGGGACGAATAAAGGATCTCTTAATCTTAATCCTATACAATACCTCCAGCGTGTCATTGTAGTCATGGTATAAATCAGCCTCCTCTGCAGCCTCTGCCAACCGCTGTCACAACAGGGAAAGAACATGTCAATGTTTCTGTTTTGAACTTTTTCTGTTCTACCGTTACTGTATATGGTTACTCATTTTCATTAACCAAAACAAATGAATATTAACAGTAATAATTTGTTATGATACACTTTTTACTTTAGAATGTGAAACATTATTTTAAGTGGAAATAAAGATAAGTTAGAGGTGATAAAACTGTTTTAGAGGCAACTCTTTTCATGACATCAGTCTGAGGGTTCCTCGTCTTACATGGCAATAAAAATGATTCTGAATCTAATACTGATAACCAGCGGGAGCAGTCTGTCCAATCACAGTTATAAAGAAGTGGATAGCCATCCATCTTAAACCCTAAGACGACTCTCCATGAGTCAAAATGTTTTGAATTTGTTTGAACAAGGTCCAATCAGAAACTCAAAAAGGAAAACATATAGAGTAAAGTTACTCTCAATTTGTAGATAGACAAGATGATTGGTGATAGAATTTATGATTCAATTTTAGAACAAGAACATCCAAAACAATAGTAATATAATTTCTAATAATTTTTGGACCATTATGATTGTGATTCAACTGATTAATCTTTCAGTCCATGGATGACACCAAGATGTCTCAATGAATAGTACCTTGACAGACTTCATCTTCCTCCCCAGCATCTCCTCCATCTCTTCTGCGAACTGTTGGACCAGTTCCTTACCATCCACCTCTTCCATCTTCACTGTTCCTTCAATGTCCTTGTATTTCTGCAAAAACACATTTGTACAGTGGCGCTTCCCATCCAGGTCAAAGAGGCAAACACAAACTCCAAATTCTAGCAAGGCTTAAACTTTCCTCTTTGATTGAGCATATCGTTAGGACAAATAAGAAAAATTAACTACAAATTTAATTTACAAACATCCAGACAGTGATTCGGAATATCTCCAAATCAGTTTGCCACTGTGGGTCACTGTGCACTGTGCAAATGTAGCTTTGCCAAAGTTGGAGCCAACATGAAGAGTATGGATAGTTAAGATTGAAGAAGTCAGTCCTCTGCTGCTCTGTTGCTGTCGCTGCCTCATTTTTTTATTTTCATCACTACAGTTTAGCTACAAGGGAATGATAAAGATGGAAGAGTTCTGTGAAAGAGCAAAAGAAAGACGAGAAGGGAAAAAAGACTGTGTGGGAGAACTGTTTCTGGTTCTATTTCTCCACAGGAAACAATAGCTCTGATGGTTCATAATGAATGTACTATGTGAAGGACTCAATGAATGAGCGGAGCCGGCAGAGTGCACTTGAATCAAACCCAGGACCTCCATGCCGCGCACCACCACCGTGTCCAAACAGAAGGCGTGTGAACAAAATGGACACAGGAGAGCACACTGGGGTAGTCTTGCACAGTTTTTCCAATGTGGTTTCTCTGCAAATGGCAAATAAATGAATCTGAATCTGAATATGAGAAGTAAGGCACAGTAAATCTAATGCACGCTCAAGCTGGCTCAGGAAGCAGAGTAACATGTTTGAAAACGTCCTTAGTCAGCTTCCCTCTGAGAAACCATGATGAGGTAACCTGACCACTACCCTCTCTTTGTCATTATTCAGTATGATTTATCCCCATGTCTATAAATACAGAAAAGTAATAAACCCCTCAAATCACTGAACCCCTCATTTCCTGACTCCCCAGCCAAGTCACCCTGCACCAACTCAGAACCCCTCCACCACTACCCTTCCGAAGAAGGAAGTTCATGGGATGCTCTGGAACTTTATCCTATCGAATAATTCTTCTGAGCATTGGTTAATCTGTCTGTCTGGCTCGTAATTGTTTGATTTTCTAATCTGCTAAGAAATAAGAGGATTTTGAGTTGTTGTTGATTATGGGTGGTTCAATTATTTGAAGACCAAATATGGAATTTGAATTGAACTACTGATTAAAGTATTATGACACAACGAGCAAGCAAAGAAGTATAGGATGGTATTTTTGTAGTGCTGTTTGGATATCACATTGTGCATAATTAAATATAATCCCTTAATGTCAGAGAATATGGAATCAGTACATTTCTATAAGCATTACGGCTTCATTTTTTGTGGGCAGATTGAGTAATTTCTCAGCATGTGTTTGAGTAACAGATGGTGAATGAACCTGCTAGCAAAAAACTGCAGGAAGCCATGCAGGACAGGAAACCAAAAAAGCAACAAAAAATGAGCTTCATTGCATTCACAGTATTTGACAAAAATATAAAACAGGTGCTAAATTGCCCAGTTTTGGACAAGTCAAAGAGGAAAGCAGATAGAAAGGTGGTGAGGAGGTAAAGTTAAATATATGTTTGGATGTTGCCAAGACTGATTAAAAATGGATTAAAATATAAACAAGGTTTAAAAACGCTGAACTAATAAGATTCACTGTTCTCTCTTTGTTGTTAAGGTCCCTCAGACACACTACAACTAAACTTTACCATCTTTCCCTCAGACACAACAGTTCAAATGGCCTTCTTTTTGTAGTAAGTAGGCCTTCAGTAAATTAAAGCTGAACGTAGTATTTTGGATCTCAACATGTATTCATATGTCCACCACCAAATACTTTTATTTGTCTGAGGGGTTCATGATCCAAGTCATCAAAATTGCAGCTCAAACGTCCCTCAGTGAACTGTCATCAGTCTAATGTGAGATTTGTGTCAATCAAATGTTTAATATTACGGTTGTAATGGACAAGTGGAGCTGTCCCTGTGATCAAGTATATAGTACGTGAGTAGAGACGGGGACGCAAAAGTACTCCTCAGCCACAAACATGTCCAAAACATTATCTTACAGTTGACCATTGTAGTTAAATCAGCTCTACTCCAATGTGGCTAATGTGGCTGGTCTAAATAGCAGCTCATATCGTTCCCCTCCCCACAAACTGGTATTGTGCCAATTCATGGACTTCAGCTTCCTGTTTTACACAACTTTTTGAGGATTGTTGTTTGATTCAAAAGATACAATATTGTTTTGAAATATTTCTAACAACGGCAACAGTCCGTGTGAAGGGTCTTACCTTCTGCAGTAGCTGAGCTCCAGAGTATCGAGCGGATAAAGCAGTTAGTTGTTTGCCAAAAGAAACAGCCCATTTCTGCACACTGTGGAGGCACATTAACACATTACGACCCATAACTTTTGTCCCCTAAAAGGCCATCTAATTTACCATTATTACATCCTTGGTTTTATGTTACTTCCCTCTTCCCCTACGAGCTCAACTGTAGGGTCGTAACATATTTGGGGGCTCGTCCGGGATCTGAACCCGGGACCTCTCGCACCCCAAGCGAGAATCATACCCCTAGACCAATGAAAAGTGGGGGGGTAAGCTGTATTGTATTTGGACATTGGGAGAATGGCAACCGCTTTCAATTTACAGGCATTCTTGCTTCATCCCTCGGCCGAAGCACTTGAGCGCTGTAAAAAGAAGGATCTATTTGAGGTTGCCGATCATTTTGAGATTTTGTATTCCCGTCAGAGCAGCAAGGCCGAACTCAAGGTGCTGCTCCTGGATGGTTTGGTGGAGAGGGGCTTGCGTTTGATCCCAGAGGCTGAGAGGTCTGATGAGAGCATCGTGCATGCGACTACCCCGAGACGTACGGAGACGCCTGCGGATGGCCCTCCCGGAGCGGAGCGTGAGTTTGTAGAGGGCGATGCGCGGCCTGAACCACCGCGCACTCCTCCTCGCTACGGGCCGCCCTCCCCAGCTCCTTCCTCTCCCGGCTCAGTTGGTGGTGCTCGGCGCGCTTTGCGGCTGGCACGCATCAAGATGGAGGCCGAGCAGAAGGATCGGGACCGCAGTGCCGAGCTCGAACTGCATATACGGAGGCTTGAGATCGAGGCTGACAAAGCTGTGCGCCTCAGACGCCTTGAGCTGGAGGCCGAAGGCCGCCTCCCCAGTCCTACTCAACGCCCGGGCGTCGCTGCACCTGCCACAGCCCTCTCCCCAGCTGTTCATGACTCTCTTGACGTGAGTAAAATGATACAAATTGTGCCTACATTTAGGGAGAGTGAGGTTGATTCGTATTTTTCTGCTTTTGAGAGAATCGCGATGGCGTTAAATTGGCCTCGTGAAGTTTGGCCTATCCTTGTGCAGTGTAAAGTGTACGGTAAAGCACAAGAGATAATCGCTGCGATGCCTCTCGCTGAGAGCCTGCAGTATGATGCAGTCAAGAGAGCAGTCTTACGCGCGTATGAGTTAGTGCCTGAGGCCTACAGACAGTCTTTTAGAAATCTCCGTAAAGCCCCGAGTCAAACGTGTGTTGAGTTCGCACGGGAAAAAGGAAATCTGTTTGACAAATGGTGTGCCTCTGCGAAGGCCCAAGATTTCGATTCTTTGCGTGAATTAATGTTGTTAGAAGACTTTAAGAACAACCTGCCTGCGCGTGTGGTTGTGTATTTGAATGAGCAAAAGGTTAAAACTATTTCTGAGGCTTCTGTGTTAGCAGATGAGTTTGTGTTGACTCATAAGAACTTTTCGTCATCTTCTGTTAATGAGACGCGTGTGTCTGTGCAGCCTGATCGTCCACGCTCTCCTGGAACCTCCACAAGGGACAGAGTCTGCTTCTACTGCCGCGAGCCCGGACACGTAATCGCAGACTGCCCTACTCTCAGACAAAAGGAAGAGTGTTCAGCTCCAAACGTTCAGAGCATTGGGTTAATTCAATCTGTAAGTCATAAGTCAGGACCCAATACTGTCCAAAATCACGGCTCCTGTTTTGAGCCTTTCATATCACAGGGCCTAGTATCACTGAATGGCGAAGCACCAGATCAACGCCCCATCCGTATCCTACGAGACACTGGCGGTTCCCAGAGCTTGATTTTGGCCAGTGCTCTCCCGTTTTCATACCGCTCTTACTGTGGTTACAGGAGTGTGTTACGGGGAGTTGAGATGGGCTACCGCCCGCGGCCCGTTCACTCTGTTCATGTCCAGTCAAACCTCGTTACAGGAAAGTTTCCGTTAGCTGTTGTCCCTGCGCTACCCATTGAAAATGTAGACATGATTTTATGTAATGATTTGGCAGGGGGCATGGTGTTTCCTCCCCTGTTGGAGGCGGTTCTGTCCCCGCTTGTGTGTGCCTCTGATCGTCAGATGCCCACGGGTTGTGCTGTGGCGCACACCCGTCCTCCAGAACAGTGCGGTTGTAGTCTGCCCGCCAGTCCAGTGAAACCACGAGTACCGCCGCACTTTACTCCACCCGCCACTTCTGTACGGAAGCACAAGGCTAGGGCCACCAGGCTTGGGTCAGGCGAGCGGCACTTTCAGCACCATGGAGAGCGTTTTGGCTCTCGCTCTGCAAGTTTCAGTTCGCGGCCTTGATCTGTGTGTTCCTTTGAGGGATTCGCCACGAGAGAGGCAAAGTCTGTGATTCTGTGTTCGGGTGAGTAATTCACAAATTTGCTCTGATTTTACTTTGAGATGGCTTGTATTTTAAGGGGGGGAGTGTTACGGCCGCTGGCGCTGGGCCGCGTCGTACACCCGCTTCCCTCCCTCCTGTGTTGTGCTGCTGTTCTGCTCAGGCTCCGCCCCGCTGCATGGTGCACCGGCTACGCACGCTGCCTCCCAGTTCTGCCTTCCGTTCGGAGATTGGGTCGCGCTTTCCACGTCTGGCCAATCCATCGCTGCGGCTAATCAGCACCAGCCTTGAAAACGAGTCTGCTCCTTCTGTGCGGGGCGGCTTGAATCAGTGTCTTGTCTGCCACCGTTCTGAGAGAACGTGTTGTCTGTGTGCGCTAAAGATTAAGCTTAAGGTTGCCTGTGTGGCTCTGTGCTTGTGTTTATTTGAGAACCCTGTGTTTTTGTGTGTTTTATTTGACTCTGACGCTGTCCAGTACAAACTGTTACCCCTTTTGCCTGTTTTATTAAAAGGCCATCTAATTTACCATTATTACATCCTTGGTTTTATGTTACTTCCCTCTTCCCCTACGAGCTCAACTGTAGGGTCGTAACAACAACAAATATTGTGAAGAAGATGACATAGTCTGGGATCGCGTCTTTAATTCAGACAGAAGACATGTTTTATTGTCGATGGTAGAGACAGCACGAACAAAGCACACAAACACAGATACAACAGAATGCAAGTGTATAATACAGAGTGGAGGCATGGAGACCTCCAATCAGCAGCTGCCACAGTGCCAACAGAGATAGTCAAAACATGAAGTGGAAAAGTACAGGCTTCTGCACATTGGTAGAATGATGAGTTTAACTTTAACAAAAGTTGCTTAAAAGTGTTATGAAATCTCACAATTGTATTATTTGCGTTCATTTTGACCCCGATGTTTCAGAATGTTGAATCATTTCTGAAGTAGAGAATATATGGATAAACATGAGTAAAGGCCCTGTGCACACACATTTTCAAACCTCAGAATACGCCAAGGATGACATGTTATCATGTTGGCATCAATAAGTTGCCTCATAGTCAAACATTATTTGTAAATATTGCTGGTTTTTATTAACATAACTTGGTAGAAAAATTGGTTAAATAGTAAAGTAATTGCAGAACTATGTTAAGTTTGTACCTCCTGCACACAGAGAAGGCCATGGAGCCTCAAAGGTCTGACACCATTTAACATCAGTAGACACGTTCTGGAATAACCGCTATACATTTAGACCGCAATAGAAACTATAGAAACACATGACTCAAAATGATACAGGTCAGTGCATGTAAAGAAGTGGGTGCATGTTTTGCCAGCATTTTCTTTAATTTAAATTTTCAGAAGCAAATTCTCTGTTTATGTCTGAACAATGGACGCAAACAAAGCAAAAAGCCTGTTTTAAAAAATACCCAAATATGTGTGAACGACCCCTGAGAAACTTGAGCCCTCATGAACACCATCTAGTTGTAGAAGTGTCTGTATCTATAATATAAATCTACCAAGGCAGAAAACTGTCTATGACGTTAAGCAGACTTGTGACAGAGGTTCATGATTTTCATCAGTAATCTGATCAATATTAAGTCAGCTGCTTGCATTTTTAAAGTTAACGAGAATATGTCAGTGTGCCCCAGGGCAGCTGTGGCTACAGTAGTAGTTTATCACCACCATGTTTGGAATGAAAGAATAATAACATGTAAAGCGTCTTTGAGTCTCCAGAAAAGCGTTATTTAAAACCGATGCATTATTATTATTATTAATATTCTTGTTGTTGTCTTTCTTGTTCGTAGTATTCTAGTACAGCAAAAACGGCCTGATCCCCTTAGAGGGCCTGCCGCACTATCTGAGAGGGCAGGACTACAGCAAGTTTAACATCTATTTGGAGAAAAAAAAACATTTAAAACAACTTTAACTTTATAGAGAGCAGCGCATACAAACAACCCAAACTCTGAGAGCGTCACTCTTGTTGCACAACTTGTTATGATGTGATTATACGAAGTTAATCACCATAACAATCCCTTTTTTTGTTGATAAGAAAAATTAAGATAATAATTCAACAAATGTACAGCTTTGGGGCATTTCACTTGGTCTTAGGCACTTTAACCATTGCCTCTCAACCATTTGGTAAAGGCCTTTAATTAAAAAAACTGAGGTTCAAAAAACAAAAACATAAAAAAGGTGATTTGTGTTATTAGTGCTCCTACACCTTAGAAACATTTCTTTCTTCAAGAGGTGAACATTAAAGGGTTAAATATAAAGAAACATATATTAGTTTCACATTGAAAGTTGAATTTCAGAAGTATATGGATATTCTAACCTTCCAAGATTTACCTATTTATTCACATCACATTGAAAAACAATTGTAATATATGTTGGAACTGTAAAATATTGTTTATGTATATGTTTGGATATACAGGTATCTATGCATGTGTATGTGTATACAATATGTACAGGACTGCTTCTGCTCAAAATAATGAATAAATGAATGAATGAAAGATTAAATGAAAAGCCCAAATATTTGCAGTCCTTTACAGAACAAAAGTGGATCTAGACAAATCTTATTGCATGTTGTTTTTTCCTGCAATTGTGTAAAGAGACTAGCATGCATCCAGCAACGGCAGATTAACAGATTAAAGCCAAGGTGACAGTCGGTGCTGTCTGCTGCTGTGGGTCACAGGGTTATGTAGTGCTTAATAAAACACTGTACTCTGCCGATCCTGCTGTAAATAGTAGCTTTGCGTTACA